AATGTTCAACACCAACCTAGAAACCTCAAGAAAATTGAAGCAAATCACAAATTATCCGTAAACAATATGATTAATTGAAAGCTTCTTCCTTCTTGTCAACTAAGCTTTTTCACTCTCCACCCCATAATATCAACTTCATTCTACACAATTAGAAAGAACAAATTAGGCATGTCTCCACAAACCTAAAGAAGATTAGTTGCTTAGAATATTAAATATACCGGGAAAATTAATTATATGGGTGTAGGCGGGTATCCACGGGGCGGGTATACCTAAACCCAAACCAACCCATCCCGGTGAATAGTGTAACAGGTTTAAACCTGAACCCGACCCAAAACCCATCAACATTGGTTTTACCTGCATTGACTGGGTTGTGTCGGGTAGCGTACCTGTGGATTTGGGTTTTGTTGTCATCCCTATTTGGAAAACTCAAACTTTGAGCAAGAGAAGGTAGAGGCGAAGACTGAGGAATTCATCATTTCAAAGGAAGCCCTTGGAGAAGAAGTGAAGGATGTTATTCCTGAAACGGAAGAACCCTTTCATGAACCCCCTACATCTCGTTCTCAAAAGTTAATGGGGCCACTTGGAGAATTTAAATATTAGGAAGGGAAAGTGAAGTCGAGATTGAAGAAGTCATGATTCTTGAGGAAGCTCCTGGGGAAAAAGCAAATAAAGAATGTCATTTCAAAAGTTGGAGACCATGAAGAAAATTGCAAGATATTGGAGAAGATTCATCAAGGAGTCAAGCCAGATTTCTCTCGACTCCTTGCATTAGATCCCTTTGCTACATTTTTGGAAAGCGATGAGACCATAGCGTCTTACCTACCCAAGAGTTCTGTCTTGAACCATTACCTTTGCTAAGTTCACAAGCCACAATCTATACGTGGGGGAAAATGTGCAAGGTGGGGACTAATGTGGTAATTTCTTTGTGGTCCGCCATCAAGCCAAAGAATAAATAAGGATGACATACAACTAGAGTTTACACTTCTAATGATGGATTTCATAGAGGCCCTTAGTTAGGGAGTTTAGAGAGTTTGGAGTGATGCCTAGCTCAAAGGCGTAAAGGAAGGAGTGCTTCAAGGGAGGCAACTTATATCTAGTGTACAAATTAAGAATGAAAAATGAAAGTTATACCAAGGAGACAACCAGGATTTCTGGACCACCATCATCTTCATCACACTCCTCTCTACACATCCTCTTGGAACTAAAATCTTTGAGCTCAGTACTATTATATTGACTTGGGAGGTTGAACTATTAAATTGTGATTTCAATCATACATAAATTTTGCATACAAATACGATATATATAACCAATAATCTAATGTTACATCATCTAATGAATATCTAGGATTTGCAAACATACACGACTAACGAACTAGCCACTCATAGGGACAGGAACTAGTGAAAACATTAGTCAAAGACAAGATTCCTAAAAGTATTGAAAAGAGTTACTAGAACACAAAAAAACACATAGGGCTCCATTTTTGTCGTCAGTATGCCCTTGAGTTTTCTTATCGTTTATGTACTGGCGAGTTCCTCTGTCGACAGTGTAACCCTCTTGTATAACTTATGTCTCAAATGAAGGCCTAAAGGACCAAGTTATAGCCTTTTCTATCGGTTTATGGGAGAAAAAGTAGGAATGGAACTCTACGGCGCAATCCCCTTGGCTTATCTTCTAGATTAGCCTCCAAGTAAAGCATTACCACATGTTTCTTAGTTGATCTAGGTCTCATAAAAAATGCATCTATGGCGCAATTTTGGGCTTAGACCGACTAAATTTCACGCCATTTTTGGCTTCCCTCCAATTAGCATTTCTAACTTCCAACAATTGGGCATTGATGTCTCTCACTAATACAAGGTGGTCCACTAAGATACTTTTGGCCTGAAAACACACTAAAGATTACCAAAAGTGCATCAAAATAGTAAATGTGGTAGCATTTATCAAGTTAACCAAGCTATTATGGCAATAAAGATATGAAAACCATGTAAAATATGCAATTAAATAAGATTCTAAAATAGTATATTTTATGTGTCAGCAAATAACCTCACACTTGAACTTTGCTTGTCCCTAAGCAAACAAACTCACAATCATACAACTCACTAGACCTCTATGATGATAAGTAACTTTCGCTTGTAGGTAGGGGATCATAAGTAGCTTACAAGGCTAACCCCTCGTACTCATAGAACTAGACAACGTCAATGAGATACATATCTTGTAAGGATAATCTGGTCAATATCCATCCAACACGAGCACTTGACTCAACTTGAGAGTCTAAAAACCGTATCTGGTGAAGTTTTTCTCAAACCTTGTATTACTTTAAAGCACATATCTACCCTTATTTGGCAACGAGATTTTATGTTATCTCTTTCGAATTGCATGCCAAATTTTACACTTTTTTAGCACAAGTAAGTTTTTATTTTTACTTTTGCACATTGCTACCGTTGATCGAGAAAGTGCAATTTATGCGTCTCAACACTTACATAAGGGCTTCATTTAACTTCGTATCCTCAATCCGTGTGGGGAGACAATGTTATAGAGCCAGAGGGGTGTCAGAAGCTCTGCTTGTTCACTCTAAGCACAATTCTCAAAATGACACTTCACTCGATGGGGAATTGTACTTAGTAAGCAACGTCGTACGACCATGAATCGATGCTCAGTTGAACCGTTCCTCCCCATTTGCGATGAGTGATTAATTCATACATTGGCACACTTTAGCCCCCACATTTATTCGTTTAGGGAGCTTTGTTTATTCCACTTGTCATGTAGAATTTTTCGTGCATAAAGATACAGTTCACCCATTGGAAACTCTTTAAAGTAGAGGGACTCGTTGGAAGAGTTTAAGAACTCACAAATGACAGTGACAAGAAATTTATGCAGACATATTAAATGGTCTTTAGTCTTTTGATGATGACATCCTCCATTGCCACAACATTAACCTTCCTAGATCACATATCAACATTAGATCACATATCAACATGGAGACTAGCAATTCAAAGTAAGATAAGCTTTAAAATTGCGAACGGTAGTGTAGCATTATTGAAAATTTTCACGTCATTTTTTTGGGTTAGGCCGTCAAAATTTCATGTCGTTTTTCGGGTTCCCTCCAATCATAGATTATGACTTTCAGATCTAGGCCTTGATATCTCTCACCCGCACAACATTGTCAACTAAGATACTTTGACTTGAAAATACAAGAAACACTACCAAAAGCACATCAAAATAGTACAAGTGATCTTAGTAGCTACTAAACACACATTTGAGCATGTATCAAGCAAGTCCAAGCTATCATGACAATAAATATATCAAAACCATGTACAACATGCCATCAAATAGGGGTATAAAATAGTATAACTTACGTGTCATCAATCCATCCCTACAAAAACAAAAGCCCGATCATCCTCTAACGCCTTTAATTCACATTTCTTCCTCTCCTCCTCTATCTGTATGTCGCATGTCAAGAGGGAAAATAATCCCTGGCCCCTACCTTACAAGTCTCTACCCTCTGCTTCACCCTCCAATTGTTGGCGCCCATTTGGTAGCAACCTCATTCCCATTCAAACTTTCACGTTGATGCATGCCACCACTCTAACCACTTCCCGTTCCAACTTTCCCGTATGAAGTAAGTGTTGACTTTACCTGTTGCGACTGCAAGCTACGAAAGAGCGTTTCCATCTATGAAGTTAAATCAGAACGAACTTCGAAATCGGTTGAGTAACTAAAATATGAATGATTGTTTAGTTGTGTATATCGGAAAAGGTTTGATTACCAACATATAAGACAAATGTATGTTACAAACCTTTTAGAATATGAAACGTGGTTGTCATTCGTTGTAAGAATAAATGAAATTATGAATTAAATTAAATTTATATTAAATTTATTTAACATTTTAATTTATTATTTATTTTTATCGGCCAACACACCTGCCCACCAATCATGGGTCGGCCAACACACTAGCAGTGTCATTGTAAATATGATCATATTCTAGTGAGCGCGATACTTGTCGTTTATAAATTTTCTCGTTTGTTTATGCTAAGTATGTGTTGCTACCATTTTCTAAAAATTATATTTCTCGACCTTCGTGAGGGCATTCCTTTGACTGCTCACTTCATAATAAAGATCCATTGTGTGACTGTGAAACCCCCTCAATTCACTATGGCTGCTTTTCTCCAAGACTAGCAATTCTCCATCTCAAAGTCTTATCCGCAAATCTTGGTCCACTGCTACCCTACTCTAATCCCTGATGAGTGAACTCTAGATTTCAATTATCTAAATCATATACCCTGAGTAAATCATATACCCTGAACACTAATTAAAATGGTGCATATCATTAGTTGGACGGATTTCGACGAATCCTGATCGTCAATTATTATTTATAATTAAATTGATCTTAGTATATAAGATTTATACAAACAAGACATAAATTTTAATCTCTAAAAGTTAGAGTATAGTACCATGTCCCAAACTCTGATTAGAGTATAGTATCATGGCCCAAACTCCGGTCCAGATATCAATTCGAGTTTGATGCATAATTTAGTATCACGAGTCAATTTGGATATTCTCGAGTTGTATCCATCCAAACCCTCATCCGATCATAATAATTTGGTTTAAAAAATTAAAACTGGCATCCACCTATAAAATTAGATATTATGTTGGTCGGTTTGGATTGAACGAGTTGGTCGATTTGGATTGGTCGATTGGACGAGTGGGTGGGTTCGGTTTGTTTTGGTCACAACTCACAACTAGTTCTTACATTCCCACTCGGTAATTTGGGGGATTTTGTTGTCTTTTCTGCCTCCTTTGTACAATACTTCGTTGCTACCTGTCCCAAACACACGGCCACGGCCCAGTCCCTTTGTGTCACCGGCGGAACCCTAACCCTAATCCCCTGCTTTGGCTTGTTTCTTGGTCCCTAATTTCGCCTGAATTCGTCAGTGATTCACGCCGTTTTGTAATGCGTTTCTCTGTTTCTTCGAGCTTGGAGTCTCCAGTCTTCCAGATAGATAATGGAGGCCTTAAAGGAGGACATGGCGGGAACCGAGATTACGACTTCCGCGGCATCCTTTCAGAGATTCATGGATTCGCAGAAGGATCTTTTTCATAGTCAGGTCGATCAACTTCAGAGAATCGTCGTTACTCAGTGCCAGCTCACTGGTGTCAATCCTCTTTCTCAAGAGATGGTGAGTTTTCACCTTCACGTCTTAAATTTTTTGCGACTGCTGGTTGATTTTTCACCTTCTATACGAGGAAGTAGGCTTTTGGGTTATGTAATGAGTAGGAAGAACAGAACCGATCCATTCTTTGGCCGATTCTACTGTGATTCTGTTCTTTCTCTGTTTTCTTTCTTACCAATGTGTCATAATTGGGAACTTCGTCTGTTACCATTTCTACTTTTTTCTTGAAAGTCAGCCTTTTCTAGTTTATGGTAGCAATAGCATCACTCCGTTTCCTTTATAATTTGAAGTATTTATCCCTTTGAATGGACCCGTCGTGTTCCTTCTGCATCCAGTAAAATATAACTAGGGATAGTAAATGTTGATGGATATCTTTGCTTGTCATGAATTTTTCTCCTTGTTATGATTCTGACTGACGACTGTTGTTTGCATTTGGACTGTGTCAGGCCGCTGGTGCGCTTTCAATTAAAATTGGTGAGTTAAATCTTGCTTGCAGCTTCATATGATGTTGCCTCATAAATTTACTTCTTTCTGTATCATCTGTTTAAGTTGTAGTGTAATGCCACAGAAGAATACATACGAGGTTTTAGACCTTGTCTTGGAGGGGTTCCTTACCATGAGCAATTCCTTTTAGCTGATGACCTTTGGAACATGGCAATCTAAAGCATAGATCGAGTACCCAGCCTTCTAAACCGCCTCAATCCATTAACATTCACCTATTTGCAGGTAAAAGACCTAGAGATTTGCTAAATCCAAAAGCCATAAAGTACATGCAAGCAGTTTTCTCTATCAAAGATGCGATCACGAAGAAGGAATCTCGTGAAATTAGTGCTCAATTTGGCATAACAGTGACGAAGGTAATTTCATTTTCTTAATGCTTTCTTTTTTTCAGTTATCATTGTTCCATGCTCAAAATCTATTTCTCCGTCATGCAGTCATGCTCTTCCCTCCTGCATTCATATGTAGACCAGTCTGAAGGGAGATGAGCTTATATGCTGATACCATGATGGCACCTTATTTATATTTTATAGCTTTCTTGACACTTTCTTTGTTTCTGTTTGATTTGATCTGATGTGTATGTAAGAAGTACTGCTGATTTTTGTGGCATTTATTTCTACAATAGGTTCGTGAGTTTTTTACCAGCCAACGTTCCCGCGTAAGGAGACTGGTCAGGCTTGTGAGGGAAAAGGGCATTCGAGATATTGCAGTTAGAGAAGCTTCAAATAACATCCAAATGAATGGCGACTCTACCAGATTTAATTCAGTGCCATTAAACTCAATTATCCATGATCCAGTTCCTGTAAGCTCAATTGGCTCAGCTACAGTTATCTCAAGCTCTGTGGGCCTTCATACAGTCCCCTTACATTTCAATGGTCCTAACCCAGTCCCTCTGACTTCCGCCCACTCCGATACTGTCCCATTAGCTTCTGTGGGATCTGACCATGTTCCATTGAACTATCTCGCACCGGATTCATCTCCGTTGATGGTTGCTGGACCTTCCGATCTGGAAGGAGGACCATCTTTCTCAAAACAGGAAGATATATTGCCTGGTTTAGATGACTCAGAAAAGCATTTTGTTGAAAATATTTTTGGTTTGTTGAAGAGAGAGGAGACGTTTGGTGGGCAGGTCAAACTGTTGGAATGGGTCTTGCAAATCCAGAATCTCACAGTACTAAATTGGTAGGTCCTAGTTCACTATACTGTAAGCTAGCCTTCCTTTTTCTCTTCTTTGTTAAACCTTTTTCTTGTGTGTTTTTCCAGGTTCTTAAGCAAAGGTGGTGTGATGATTCTGGCGACGTGGCTGACTCTAGCGGCTGCTGAAGAACAAACAAGCGTTCTGCTTGTTGCCCTTAGGGTGCATATCACTTGCTGCTCTGTGTCATATGATGTTATTTTGATTCACAAATTTGTTCATACTTACATGGTTTTGGGATCTGCAGGTTCTCTTGCACTTGCCTTTGCATAATGCTTGCCCTGAACATATGTCAGCCGTCCTGCATAGTGTAAATACTTTGCGGTTTTACAGGACATCAGGTATATTGTTGGGCTAATATTTAATGAATTATATTTTTCTACTCTTTGCTGTTCGTGTTTTCTATCCTCCGTGTGTACTCTGTTTGTACTTATTGTCAACGTGAATAAACTTGAAAGCAAGGCAATTGTAACGTGTTTATGGCCTAAGGTTTGCTGCTGTAGTGGTTTAAGATCCAGTTATTATGTATAGGTTTGCTGGTTGAAAATCCAGTTATTCGTTTCTTTGATAAGATAGCTGATATCTTAATCGATAGTACCTTGATTTTGATTCTGTATGCGATGAGCTGATGTTATTAAAATTCCTAAAATAGAAAGAAAGTCAATGTTTTCATGACTACCTTTGTTTCTAGTGTATGGTTGCACCTGTGCTGTTTTTCTTTACATGTTCATATAATTTCTCTGCTAGTGTTTTGAATCTCAATTTTCTGATGATGAGGTCAGACATATCGAACAGGGCAAGGATTTTGTTGTCGAAGTGGACCAAAATGTTTGCCCGAAGTCAGTCTGCAAAAAAACCTAATGGCATTGGGTCTTCCACTGATGCCCAGGATATGATACTGAAGAGAAGGTTAGTCTATGGCTACCATGTTCTGACTTACTCGCTACCCTTTTCTGGATCACTTTCTGATGCTGGGCTTTGTATAATGGTGCAGCATTGATGAAATTATGAGCAACGAATTTTGGCATCCTGATATTGGCTATGCTGTAAGTTCTTATGAGAAACTTCTATCTTTTAGACAGTGTTTGCATGATCATGGTTCATAGCTATGTTTGAATTGGTGCAGGAAGGTACACTTGCTCTTCCCTCTGATCATTTGGAGAATGTCAGGTGTGTGACATTTTTTGTCTGTGTTTGCGATGGACTTTAGTTGCATAGTAGTTGTATTGATCTCAGTTTCTGATCAGGAAAATGGAGTCTTCACAAACAATGAAGCTATTGCCTGCTTCCACCGAAGATGCGAGCAGGAAGCACATCTTAGGTGGATCTCCATCTCGTATCCTTATGATTTTGTTTTCCTGTTCTATCGAATTCCCCTTCCAGGCATGCTCAATCTACGTGTCTAGTTCGGTTAAATGGAACTAATTTGTTATTTTTTTGTGCCCTCAACCCTCATTACTTGAGGACATTGTGTTGTTCTTTTAATTTGTTTTGACCGTATCCACTGAGTTTCTTTTCGAATGAAAACATAAGTGGACCTTAGCTAGTATCAGATGCCAGAGAGCGTAGAAAAGTTCAGCTTGTTGAGCAGCCTGGCCAGAAAGCATCAGCTTCCAGAACGCTTCAGGGAGCAAAAGCTTTATCATTTAGTCAAGGCCGCCCAATGTCTGCAGATGATATCCAAAAGGCAAAACTGCGTGCCTTATACATGCAGAGCAAGCATGGCAGGAAGTCTAGTTTACCCAATGGAAGCAACAGCATGAATAACGAAGCAGTTAACAAAGGGCAGGGTGTTTTGTTGGGCAACTCTTCTCAAGTTTCCAAGGTTGTGGTCGAACCAAAGGATGAAGAACTCAAGGAACCTGTCTTAACTGCGGTAAAAGTTACTGATAGGGGTGAAGATCACCACCATGCTACTGAGGCAAAAATGGAATTAAAGGTATCTATACAAAAATTGGAATCAGAGGTACCTGTAACAGAAAAGGAACCGAAGGTACCTGTAGAAAAAGTGGAATCAAAGGTGCCAGTTGGGCAGTTACACTCCAGGATCCAGATCCCATGGCAGTCACCACCAGGTACAAATATGCTTGGTCTTTCTCCATTTTTGGTTCTCCTTCTTTGCCAGTTGCATCCACTGCAAACATCTGATTATAATTATATTCAGTGTATGTGAAAGCGTGCCAGAGATCAGAGTTGTGAGGCTAGGATTTAAGGTTTAATTTTAGACCTGTGAAAGAACAGTGATAACTTGTGATAAAAGCTTACCACGTTAGTATTGGATATGCAGTTCAATCTGTATCAGTGGCTCATATTGTATAGTTTGGCGAACATTGGTTATTCTATGGTAGTCTGAGGGTTTGTGGAACTGATTCTTGTTTATTGAACTGGAGGTCAATTATACTCCAAGTAATAGGCTAACACTGTCTCTGAGCTCTTTCTCTTTCTCATTTTCATATTCTTTTCCTGTAAGGGAAACTTAATTTAGCTGGTTTTCAACCCATTGATTTTTGTTCTTAGTTAGCATCCTTCAATGGCTATGCAAAACCTTTTCTGGGGTCTACTTAACCTTCCGACTTCCTTTTACCCTCTTGGTCTCCTTAGCGTTGCCCTCTTTTCTCTTGCGTCTTGAAGCTTCTCAAGCATGGATCATCTTTCTGGAATGTATTTGTGTTTTGCTGTTGGGGCAATACCTTTGTATTAGAGCAATATTCTAGCAAAACTGTGTATCTGTTAGAAACCATGTTAAATTTACTCTTGTAAAGTGTAATTGCATCACAGTGGTGGTCTGGTGGCATCAAATTGTACTATTTTTTAACCACATGGGGACCTCTGGAACGTGTGTCCTATCACCTATATAGTAGTTGTCTTACCTTGCAGTTTGAGATACGTCATTTGGGAAGTCTTTAACCAGAATGCCGAAGCTTTTCTTGGCTTGGGTTTTCAGAAGTTTACATCCAACTAAAGGCTCTTTCATAGAAGCAGTTGCCTGCGTAAAACTATTAATTAATAACATAAAAGGACGAAACAAAATTGTTTCCAGAAGTTTGGTATCACAAGTTCAGTGAACCAACACAGATTTCCCGCGATAAGAAATGAATATCAGTTGAGCATTTTTCTTTCATTCTGAGTTCAATCCTTCACACGACTTCTATCTTTCATGCAGAGGTGAGACTCAACCTTCTTTGGCGTGTTGGCACTGGTGAGTTCAGCAAAGAAGTAGAGGTCCAGAAAAACAGGAATCGCAGAGAGATGGAAACCATCTATAGGGTCTCTAAGGAGATACCATCTAATCCCAAGGAACCGTGGGACCTCGACATGGACTATGACGACTCACTGACCCCTGAAATTCCAATTGAACAGCAGCCTGATGCAGCAGATGGTACAGAGAAGACAGAGGTACCCGATGATAACAAACCGAAGAAATCCGTGGCTGCATCGTCATCGTCCTCTCCAGCTGGTCCCACCATTGTAGCCCAAAATGGTGATGATGGTGGGCCTGCAGCAGAGCCAGACCTCGAGCTGCTTGCTGTTCTCCTCAAGAATCCGCAACTGGTTTTCGCGCTGACATCTGGGCAGGCGGGCAATTTATCAAATGATGAAACTATGAGGTTGCTAGATATGATTAAGAGCGGTGGCAGCGGCATAGTAGGTAGTAGTAGTAGTAGTAGTAGCGTAAATGAGTCGGGTGGTGGAAAAGTTGAACGAGCGGAGGTGGTCGAAGTATCTCTCCCGTCGCCGACTCCTTCGTCAAGCAATCCTAGAACGGTGCGTCACTCAGGCCCATGCTGCAAGTTTTGTCACAATTTTGAAATCTCTTTAGTCTATTTACCGCCGGGGAGCAATAGGCTTTTTGTTATATACACAGTAGATGTGATCATTCAGGAAAAACGGACTTTCTTTCTTAGCTCAGTCGACATTGCCGGGTGGAAACTGTGGGGTTCATGGTTCATGCAGCTCTTTTTATTTGGGTACTTCGTCCTTTCGCTTTTTTGGGGTTTGTTCTGGTTTAGGGGTTGGCTGGTTGAAAATGCTCTACACATTATGGGGGAAAATGGTTTGCTGTAGCTGAAGCGCCTTTACTACCTTCCATACCAAACTAGGCAGGAAAATTGGATAGATATCACCTTGGTTCTTAGGGTATATATATGTATAAAATGGAAACCTTACTAATTCATGTTTTCTTCTTTTCAATCTGAAACACGGTAAAATTGCAGAGTGGATGGAAGCCAGAAGTTGCCAAGAACCCATTTTCACAGCAAAATCACAGAGGAAGAGCAGCTGCTTATCTCGATACAACCATCGTCACCAGTTCGGTGCTTCCAGACACTCTAGCCTCCACCAGTAACATGAGAAGCTTACCACTAGAGCTTCCCAATGTGCCATTGCAACCCTCTCATCATCATCATCAGCAGCAGCAGCAGCAGCAGCAATACCTCCGTCATCACCAAAGTCTACCAACTTATCCCGAGCTACAGACACCAGGTGGCAGCGCATCCTTTGTCTCCATAGGAGAGGGGCCACAGGTTCGATTTCAGCAGCAGCGGCAGACTTTCCTTAGCGAATCATCTCCCCAAGTGTCGTCGTCATACTTATCGTCTAGGCCAGGGAATGTGAATGTAGGACGCGTCCCTGCTGCCCAGGATTCCTGGATAGCCAGGCAGGGTGTTGGTGCAGCAGTAGGGTCCAACTCGTATTCTAATGTAAATCATCAGAGTGTATACAGTGGAACTAGTATGTCGGTGTATAGGAGAAACGAAGAGCATTACAGAGGGGAAGGGTTCGAGTCGTGGAGTCCGGAGAATAGCCCTAGTCGTAGTAGGTCTCCTGGTGAACAAATGGTTATGGGCAGGGGAGGAGGAGGAGGGTATGTATTAGGAGGAGGCAGAAGGGCGGCAGGAGGGTATCGAGACACCGGAATCCACGATAACCATCGGCAAACTGCGAGACCCAGGAATCCATCCAGTTCTTCTTCTGGGTATCGAGACCCTAACGACAACAGCAGGGTAGGAAATGGAAGGTGGCGATGATGACGATGACGATGGAATGAATGTGATTTCTTGTTCCAACTGGGCTGCTGCTATTGTTGGGATGTGCACTGTCCTGTAGACGGTGCTTACCATTTGTTGCTGAGATTTTTTTGTTGTTGTTGCTGACAGCAAAGAGGCCAATCTATCTAATTGAATACACCAGATTCTTCACTCGTTCTATGTCTCACAGTCCCTCTTCAGTAATGGGATACTTGCATGACAGAAATTGAATAAAAAATAAAAAGTAAAACTTGTACGTGGGACACTCTTGTCTCGAGTCCTGAACTGGGTTACCTCCGCGGGTTGATCGGTTGAAAATGTGCATCATGCATTCTTCGAATTAAAAATTAAACTAGAGTGTGCAGCGATTTGGACCAAGCTCACAAGAACCACAATTTAATAGTGAAAGATATTTTAAAATTAAGAATCAGACTAACAATGTATATAAGAAAAGCCTTTGGCTTTCCCAATCCAAAAGAAGGGACACCATCTAACAAGAAAATAAGCAAAAATAACACTTCTTCTCCTTCTTGTATGGTGTGTGGCTTCTTCACCATTTGGACCTCCCTTCTCCCTAGCTTCATGATAACATTTTGGTAAAACAATAACCTCTTTACATCAAGGGGAGGAAGTGAAAATAAATAGTCCATTGTAAAGTGTAATAGTCACAATATTTCCTCGTACAAAATATCAGGGCCATGATTATCCACCATGCATCATCCATCCTAAGAAATCATGTAGAACTCAAGTTAAAATGAAGTAAATTTAAGTTAGACCGACCTTGTAATTAGTTTGAGGATTCTTATTCAAAACAAATTTGAATATTGATTAATCAACCCTCTGACCACCAACTCTCCGAACTTCACTTTAGGGATTGGTTACTTTATAATCTGAGACAGCCACATACTGGTTTGGATTTCGGGATTACTTGATGGTCTCTCTGGAAGACTAGAAACGTTAACTTTTTAGGTATTGTGATGACTAGAAGCTATTACATCGTATCCAAGCATGGTTACGTGCATTATAAGATGTTATGGACAAGGATCAACTTCTTCATACGTCAAGCCTGCCTGCAAGAATGGAGGAGGTCTCTTGGAAGTTGCCTCCTCTGGTCACGCAACTAATGGGTGGCCTGATTCGAGATCAAACATGGCGTTGTTTAATAGTGTTGCATTGAACCTGAAAGTTTGTTCCATCACCAGAGCAGAGTTGAAGGGCATTGCATAGGGATTTCAGTTTGTATGGGAGCTGGACACAACCTTGTTCACTTTGAGCTTGATTCTCAATGAGCAGTCCAACTTCTGCAGAGCTGGGATGTTGAGCACCAACATATTGCTTCGATTCAGGGATTTCGAGATCCCACAAAGAGAGATTGCACAGTCGAGATTTCTCATATTTATTATAGACGATAACAATTTAGAGATTTCTCATATCTGAATCGAATGAAGAATTTTAAACAAATTTCACAATTTCAATGAAAACTGAAAATTTGAATTAATGAAATTTTTAGTTCTTCAATCTTCAATTAATTTATCTCAATTCTCTCCCAAAATGATAATATTTATCAATTTCATAAGTTAAAAGACAAAACTAACACAATTCCATCCTCGTTATTCAATCCAAACAATAATATTTTAATTCGTCTATGGGCCGAATCTACCTACATTGTAGCTACAACTCTTATAATAGAGTTGTAAGGTGTGGCTTGGCATCTACACGGTAAATTTGAAAGCCTTGGTGCCCTTGGTATTTCTGCCATGCTTCTGGTAACTGCTGGTGGCATTGCTTGGCATGCGTTTGAGGTGCTCCATCAACGGTTTCTTTTCTCTTCTCCCTTTTGCATTAGTTGAATGTGCACCACCATGGTGAAAACAACATGCAGCTAGAAGATGAATAAGATGAATATGGTTGTAGTAATAATCTATTCTGAAAACATCAATGCTACACTGTAGTTACATGAAACTCATGATCATAGATTCTGACTTCCCTGTCACTGATTGGTTCTTATATCAAACTCTTGGGTGTATATTCATTTGAATGCTTCAATTGGGTGTTATCTAAACACCCTCTTCAGTCTTAACAACTAGAATTACCTTCACAAACCCTCCTTTTCTGAATCCACCATAAACAGCATTTTCTTGTCCAAGTATTACTAGGCACATCTGCCTCTGTTCTGTGACTGTTACTATTGTATTTGTCTGAGATTCGACAGTCAAGTTTCTCGAGTCATCACTCTAGAGTCTAGTGTAAAATATGGTATCTCGGTTTCACTGAACTTGAGATGACTTTCCACCTACCAGAACATGAAGGTTGCGCTGGTGACCAGGCATCTAAACCATGACAAGATTTTTGCTTGAGATTGAAATTGATATGACAACCAATTTCCTACTTGGGAGTCTGAGACAATACAATTGCAGAGATACAAATGGGGTAGCAAAAAAAAAATAGAAAAAGAGAGGTGCAAAATGTCAGAAAAAATGGGGAACCGAAAATTAACAACTGAGGAAGTTCTGCAGACCATACTATTCTGATCTATTTGCAGTTTGCAGTAATAAATCTGGGATAATCAAGGATTCACAGTAAGCAACTGTACAGTTTTGGCCTGGACCATTAACGAAGAGAAATCAACGAAAGCCAAGAGGGAATCAGATAATTGTAGTCTGAATTGTTTTAGTCGACATTGATCATATCTTCCGTAAACATTATCATCACATCCCCTAGGCTACCTTCCACCATAAAACATTTTTCAAACAAACAGAGATAATAAAAAAGAAGAAAAATTGGGTAAAAATTGGAACTTTATGAAATTGAAGGAGAGACTCAGAAGTACCCATTGGTTCTATAATCACAGAGGACGAATCCTCTCGTAAAATAGGTAGTTTTTTCTACATCACAGCCTCCTTCCATTCCATTCTCATCAAAAACAGGAAAAGAAAGACGATTAAAAGAACACAGATTTCACCAGCAAACAGGCAACGAATAGAAGAGAAAAGGAAGAGGGAAATGAGGATTTAGCAAAAGGCAATAAAACCCAAGAAGCAGTAAGAGTTACTGACGACGAATTGGAGAAGAAAGAGAGCGTCCACTGTTCAGGCGTTGCGGCGGAGGAACTTGCATTCGATGGAAAGAGGCACGCGGCCAGTCCAGCTATTTATAGATCGAGGCCGTAGATAGGGTTAGGGTTTCTTCAGGCTTAACTCGCTCTCTCCCCTCGAGTTAAAGTGGGCCGTCGAGAGGTAAGCGGTAAGCCGCTCTAGGGGATTTTTCTTTCTTTCTAGAAGTAAATGGGTTTTGAACTTTTAATTCTTTTTACAAAATAGAGGTATTTTGCAAGGTTGTCGAACCGGATTAGTCTATCAAGCCAGTTGAAAAAGTGGTTTGAGGTTGTGAACGAGGACCGGCTTAGTTTGTTGTAGGGCTGGGAATGTAGACCAAACCGTATGACAAACCGCGGTTTAGACCGTACCGTACGATTTGGTCCGGACCGTTAGACCATGAATACAATTTGGTCTGGTCCATGGTTTGCTTCTTTCACTTGTGGTCTGGAACGGTTTGGTCTGGTCTAGACCGTGGTTAACCGTCCAGACCGTGACAAAAATTAACTATGGGCTGAGCCCAACTAGGCAGCCCCAGCCTTACACATTTCAATGGCCAAAGCCCAATTTCATTGCCCACAGCCCACCACAGCCCTAGCTGCGTGCCTGCGTGCTTCCCCACCCTCCCGCTGTCCAGCAATTCGGCTGCTGCGTGCGCCGTGCTTCCCCAGCTCGAGCCTCGAAGTGAGAAGGGAGAAGGAGAAGGAAAACGGAAAGGTGAACCCCAATCGTCGACTTTGCAGGCTAGCACGGAGCTTCGTCTCACCGACTTTGCAGCCCCAACCCCAATCGTCGCCTCGCGCCCTCGCCTCCCCGTCTCCGATTATCCATCATCCGCCCCACCGCCGACTTTGGAGCTTCGTCGTTGACTATCCAGCTCCATTGCACGGTTGCTATTTGTCTCCATCGCCTTCCACCATAGCCATCGACCTCCACCATCCTTCTCTTCTCAGGCTGCTCCATCACCATCGACCTTCACTGACTGGCGACTGCCATCAACCTCCGCCGACCGCCATTGACCTCCGCCGACCACCATCGAACCTATCTATCTCTATAGCCATCGACGTTTGCAATTCTTCCATTGACTCCACCATTGTTTGCTGCCGCTGCAACAGAGAACCAAAATTATGGAAATAATGATTGACTGTTCTTCCATTCCCCTATGTTTGTTCTTCATTCCCCAATTCAAACTGTTACTAAATGGCTAGAATGCTTAATAGTTAATATGTCTCTGCCTATTATTCAGGCTAGCAAAAGAGCTCGTTACAAAGTTAGCTCTGGATAATACAGGTTTTGTTGAACATGGTCTACTCGGTCCAGACCGTACCGGACCGCACCGCACAGGCGTGGTCTGGACCGTATAGGTTATGGTATGGTCTATGGTCTCTGTTCTACCCTCACGGTCTGGACCGCAGACCGTGTATATGGTCTGGTCTGGACCAGACCGCACCGTTTCCCAGCCCTAGTTTGTGGAGCGGCGCACTTCTCTTTGTATGGTTGTTTGTTCGATCCCTAGCGATCGAGTTTCTCAATTCTCCTTGTAGCACCATCTTGTAACAGGTTTAAATTAAAAAAAAAATACAAGTTGTTTGACGTTTAATGGTCAAATCGAGTTCAGCCAGTTCAAATCGATTTTATAATATTATGTGAGAAAATCTTCAATACCAAATAGATTAGGCATATATTTGATATATTTTAAACTAATATCACTAATCTACATTCATAAATTACCAAATCTTTTTTTGAAAAAAAAAAATCAATCCACATCTTCAAATCGAGTTTCGACTAGTCAGACCACCGAGTTTTAATAGGTTTAGCCCGTTTTGACATTTGTCCAGACTCGTCCAATCAGAGTGTATTCCAACCGTTTAGATGACTGGTTTTGACTTTTGACATTTGTGAAGCTATTTGTATCATCTCACTTTTAAATTATTTTTCACCCCTAATATAAACAATAAACATGCAATTATATGCATCATCAATGATAAAATCAAAATTTTCAACACATAAGTCATAAAACATTTCAAATATTTAAGTCTACAAACAACTACAAATATAAAAATCCACCATTTTTGAGCTTGCAATTACAGTATTTCGATTTTTCGATCGAAAATTCGAAATTTGGTTCGGTTGAAAGAACCCTGATTTCCGAACTATTCATATTTTCCTTCCGAATTCTGAACCGAATAGAGGGTTCTTTCCGAACTATTCATATTTTCCTTCCGAATTCCGAACCGAATAGCATTAATTCGGTTTCGATTTAGTTCGATTCTGGTTTACCGAACCAGTTGTCCACCCCTATCCACAGTCTAATTTAATCATGTCATGCATAACTGCAGTATCGTTCTCCATCCTAGTAAATGGCCATCAAACAGAAACTTTTGAACCAAAGCGAGGGCTTCGACAGGGATATCCAATCTCCCCGTATTTGTTCCTATTGTGTGTGGAAGGGCTTTCAGCTCTAACAAGGAAAGCAGTTGAGGAGGGGCAGACTCCATGGTTTTCAGGTATCTAGACGAGGCCCTATTATTTCCCACTTGCTTTTCGCTGATGACAGCATCTTCTTCACGAGAGCTAGCTCGATAGAGTGTGAGCATCTGAGGGACATCCTAAAACTCTATGAGAAGGGATCAGGGCAGAAAGTCAACCTAAAAAAACCGGACTTAACTTTTAGTCCAAATGTGGGGAATGATCAATGGGCGTTGTTGGTGTGTCTTCTGGGTATGAAGCAAGTGGAGGAACATACTAAGTACTTAGGTCTGCCAACCATCATAGGAAGGGAGAAGAAATCAGTTTTTGGGGTATTGGTGGACAGAGTAAGGAAGAAGATCAAATTGTGGAAGGGGCAAAGCTTATCTAACGCAGCAATGGAAACCCTAATAAAAGCGGTAGCTCAGGCCCAGGCAACATACACAATGTCAGTTTTTCTGGTGCATGAGGTGGTATTGGAGGAAATAAAGAGTGCCATCCTAAATTTCTGGTGGGGGCAGAAAAAGGAGGAAAAACGAATCCCATGGAAGGCCTGGAATAAGCTCTGTGAGCCGAAGGAAACAGGAGGTTTGGGTTTTAGGGATTTAAAGGTGTTTAACCTCGCCCTACTAGGGAAACAGATCCAGAATCTTATCCAAAATCCAGATTCCCTAGTAGTCCGAGTGTTGAAAGCTAGATACTACCCTAATACAGACATTCTACATGCTCGAGTTGGCCACAATCCAAGTTATGTATGGAAAAGCTTGATGGCAGCACAAGAATTGGTTCGTGATGGCATCAGATGGAAGATTGGCAATGGAACACAAGTAGAAGTGTGGGGAGATAGATGGATCCAAACGCGGAGGATAATGGGTACTTGGTGGTCTCACCAGTATCCAATTTGGGGATCTTAGCCATGGTCTCATCTCTAATTGACCACATTACTCAACAATGACGAGAGGATATCCTGGAGCAACATTTCAATCTGATGGATATGGCTAGAATTCGGGCAATCCCCCTTCCCAAAACACCCCAACCTGATAAGCAGGTCTGAGGCTTCGAATGAAGGGGTTTCTACACAGCAAAATATGGTTACTGAGCATGGAAGAGGAACTACAATCAGAAGGGGAGGAGGTCTACGACCCAGTGAATTGGAAACTGATCTAGAAACTCCCAATACCACCAAAGGTAAGAATGTTCATATGGCGATTGGTACAGAACATTCTCCCAACGAGGAAGAACATCGAATCGAGGAAAATGGAAGCAACGATGGAGTGTCCATTTTGCAACCTAGTGAAAACTCAGGAGCACATATTCATGGATTGCGCGTAGGCACGACGAATTTGGACCCCTACTGAGTACCAAAGTCTGTTCGAGTGAGGGGGAAATAAATCGTGTCAATCCTGTAGCCAGGGTCTCATCTCTAATTGACCACATTACTCAACAATGGCGAGAGGATATCCTGGAGCAACATTTCAATCTGATGGATAGGGCTAGAAATTGGGCAATCCCCCTTCCCATAACACCCCAACCTGATAAGCAGGTCTGGAGCTTCGAACGAAGGGGTTTCTACAAGCAAAATCTGGTTACTGGGCATGGAAGAGGAACTACAATCAAAAGGGGAGGAGGTCTACGACACAGTGAATTGGAAACTGATATGGAAACTCCCAATACCACCAAAGGTAAGAATGTTCATATGGCGATTGGTACAGAACATTCTCCCAACGGGGAAGAACATCGGATCGAGGAAAATGGAAGCAACGGTGGAGTGTCCATTTTGCAGCCTAGTGAAAACCTAGGAGCACATATTCATGGATTGCGCGTAGGCACGGCGAATTTGGACCCCTACTGAGTACCGAAGTCTGTTCGAGCGAGGGGGAAATAAGTTGTGTCAATCATGGTTCTATGAAGTTTCAGAGGAGATTGAGGAGGAGAAGCTGGCCCGATTGGCGATGATTCTATGGAATATGTGGAATGAAAGGAATAATCACCTCTTCAATAAGAAGAAGGCTGAAGAACGGAAGGTGGTGGGGAGAGCCCTATCCTACTATGAGGAATTCACAGCAGCCAGAAGAAAGGAGGAAGAGAGAAGAGAACCCACACCTGTGCAATAGAGGAAGCCACCAACGGGTTGGATCAAGATCAATGTTGATGCCGCAGTCTTTGCCGGAGAAGGGACTGGCTCGGGAGTTGTTGCAAGGGACTAGAACGGACTTTGTGTGCTGGCGGCAGTTCGTCATGACCAGGGTCAGTGGCGGCCAGAAATTGCAGAGTTGAAGGCGATAGATTTTTCCCTAGAAATGGTGGAAATGAAGGGCTTCACGCGGGTGGTGTTTGAGTCGGACTGTCAAGAGGCGATTGGGAAGATACAAGGAGCCATGGAGTCTCCAACAGAAGAAGGTGGCTCGAAGCTGAAATACGGGCCAAGGCCCAATCTCTGGGACAAATCCAATGGTCTTTTTCTAAGAGGGAAAGTAATATTGCGGCCCACACTATGGCCCATTTAGCTTGTGGATGAGATGATCAGGATATAAGGGAGGATAGGCCGCCTGCGTGTTTACTTTCTTGTCTTGATGCGGACTGTAATCTTATTGACGGCTAAATAATAAAATCCCAGGTGTTCTATATAAAAAAAAAACTAGCAACATAAAACTTTGTGGGCGGAATTTATATGCCGAGCCCATATAAGAGATGAGGAATTATGGACATCATTCCAAGACAACAAAGGCCAACAGGCTCAATTTATATAGTTTGTAAACAGAAGCCAGCCGCCTATTGTATTATTAAGGGTAATGTTTATTTTTTATCCAAACATTTTTTAGATGCTTTTATATTATCCAAATATATTAAAATGCTATTAATTAGCCAAATTTTTCGTAATGTTTCAAAATATTAGTCATTTTTACGTTATCATTAATAATTTTGTAACTCTTTTCTTAGTTAAAAGGGTAATGTCTATTTTTTATCCAAATCTTTTCAGATTCTTTTATATTATCCAAACCTTTTTGGATAAAAAATAGACATTACCCTTTTACCCAACTCTAGTACGTTCTTTAGCAAGCTTGGGACTTCCATTCCCAACTCGTAGCCGCCTTCGAAGCTTCCTCAAATGTGTCGAATAATCCCTCAAAGGGGGCTACCTCGAAACAACTCCCACACTAAACCAAAATTGCCATCTTCAGAAACGTTCTTCCTTTGTCCTCGTAGGTGACTTTAAGCTTAACTGGTGTCGTGCTTGGGCCACTTTCGAGGGTTGCATCAAAGAGGTCTTGTGTTCTAATTTCCACGACACCCATTTGTTAAGTCCATGATATTCAGTCATGTGAAAATTTCAAGCCCTTATGAGTGGCTTTCGTTTAAAGATACGCGTTAGTATATGATATTGATTCGGGGTTAATTGTACACATTTTACCCCTCATTTCTTAGATGTTTGAGGCATTTTCACTATGCGAGGTTTGATTTTACGCTAGGTTGTGCATGTTTCTAGTATGTTTCAGATCCTAGTAGGTGGATTTGGCCTATGGAACAAAATTTGGACTAAAAGGAGCGAAAACGGATCAAAGGGAGCAAACGGTCGAGGATCACGGTGGAAACCAGAAGTTCATGGTCAGGCCGACTGTGATAAAGAGGAGGATTGTGAAGTGCAAGGCGACCATGTAAGTTTTTCAGCCTCGTAGGCTTACGAGAAATCACGATCACTCGACCGTGATAATCCGCTCCAGACCGTGAAGTCCTTTAGTGAAACACGTGCTTTTGCCAGGATTACGGTCCAGGCTTTGAGTTAACAGTCGTGAACTTGGACCGTGAAAAGTCATTGAGCTGGGTATAAAAGGGAAAGTGAGCTGAAAGATGAGGGAGAGAGCCTAGTGAGAGAACTTCTTCTTCCTCAGATTTATAGTGAGAGTGAAAAATAAGAGAGGAGAAGAAAGTTAGGATTTCATCCAAACTTCAAGATTTGGGAATTTCATCCTCGAAGGTTGATCTCCACACCAAAGAAGAAGGCAAACATCTCAAGATGGTCTTTTCTCTTCTCCTTTGTGTATTCCCTAGACTTAGCATGAAGTAGTTCCCTTCTTTCACTTGGGTGTTTGTGAACCCTAGCTAGAATCATGTGATTGTTTGTATGAATTAAACGATTTGTGGGTGGTTGTGTTTTCATGCAAGTATTGAGGTATTTTTATAAAGGTTGTGTTATGTTTTCCAATTCCAACTATTATGCCAATTTGACCTAGGTAGAGGGAAATCTCCTTCTTACCAAGAGCCTTTCGAAAGCTGGAATTCCTTGGCCAGATTGAGCCACCTACTTAGGCCGAATTAGGGAAAACCTCTCACTACGTTTTAGCACCTTGGGTTGGTTGTATTTTGGCCGTTCGGACTATGGTTAAAGCTTAGGCAACCCTTAGTCGATTGGCCAAGAGAGCTATTTTGGTAGCTTGATTTGATATCCCTTGGCCTATCGACTGAGAGAGTGAAGCTTTTTCACTAGTTGCGCTTCCCTATGGTTTACAATCACTTTTACCACACACGTGTAGTGGTTCAACTAATCTTGATAACTAGTTAGGGGGAGCAACACCCGGGTGAAGCCTTCTCAATTAGTGTTCAAAACCATTTACCTTGCCAATTGCTTTTAATTGTAATTCATAGCTTTAACTAAAAATCGATTGCTAGCTAATGTTTCAAACAATTGAAGTAGGGGTACATAAACCGCCTCAGGTTTAACATTTAAATACTTGCTCTATAATGCACCCGACTAGAGTTTATATTTCGGCTCTAGTCGGAATTTAAATCGTGGTATTCGAAAAGAGTCAAATATAAGTTTTAGATTTTTAGTATTGAACATATTCCAATAACTAGAATTATTGGAAGTAATCTTTAATCTTGATAGGAGCCAAAAAGGTTGGGGATCATGTGGTTAGTGCCCAAGGGTGGCAGAACAGTTTTCGGTTTGCAGTTAACAGGCCGGTTTCAACCGAACCGACCGGTTTTTGGCTAACCAAAAACCGATTCTGAATGCATCGGTCGGTTGGAGGTGGGGAAGGGTAGGGGTTCGGCTAGCCGACTAATCGGGGTCAGAAACCGGCGGTTAACCGGCTAACTGACCCCTTCCCTTTCCCCGAAAACGACTGCGCAGCTTCATCCCCCACCACTAACCCTAATCTATTGCCCCGCAGCTTCAGTCCCCCACCACCAATTCCCAAATCCATCCCTTCTCGCGCAGCCCTCCTTCTCCCTCACGACCACCGCCGCCCTTCTTCTCCCTCACGACCGCCCTCTCCTTCTCCCTCACGACCACAACCTCCCTCCTTCTCCCTCACGACCGCCGCCTCCACCATCATCGCCCCGCCGCCCCGCCGCCTCAACTAGCACTCCAGCAGGCAGCAGCAGCTCGTCGCGCTCCCAACACAAGCAACAGCTCGACCCCCGCCGCCTCCACTCGCTGCCGCCGCGCCTCTGCTTCTGCTATGTGTTTCCAGATCTGAAATGGAAGAAGGAAGGAGGGAGAAGGAAGGAGTGGTGGTGGGTGTTGTCTGTCGTGGGTTTGAAATGGAGGAAGGAGAGAGAAGGAAGAAGTGGTCTGTTCTCTGGTGGGTGGAGAGGAAGGAGGAGAGAGAATGAGGAAGAAGATAAGGATTTAGTGGTAGGGAATTTTCGTTTGTTTTTTTTTTTAATTTTTTAATTTTTAGAGAAGGGAGTATTTTTGGGTATGCGACTAACCGAACCAAACCGATAACCGACCGATCGGTGGTCGGCTAGCCGTGGCGTCCCTCACGGTCGATGGTCGGTAATAGAAGGTGGTTGCTCGGTTTAACCGATAACTGAGAAATCGATTTTCGGTTGAACCGAAACCGACCGACTGCCATCCCTATTGGTGCCAAATCCGTTCCGCAAAAAATTGCTAAGTATGAAGCCTTAAATCCATCGGCTATAATACATCTTTGCTCTGTCCGATTCACAAAATGCCCAAAACTAAAGTCTTCAGTACTATTGGAAAGTTATTTATATTTTCATGCCACTGCTTTTCTGATTTATATTCGGTTTGTTTGCAATCTGCTGTGTGATTTCCTTTATAAATATACCAAAGCTTAATTGGTAGATGAATAGCATAGATGAGTCTCTTATGGAGTGGGTTAGGACTAAGAATCAGGGATGTTAATGATTCAAGCTGAGTCAAGTTTTGGCATGGTTTGGCTTCAACTCGCTAACATAATTTTAATCTCGAGTTTGGCTCGAGTTCGAGTACACAAGCTTTGATAGGCAAGTTCGAGCTCGGCTTGTTTACAAAAGTAGAAGCTCAATCCCGGCTCGCCAAATAAGTTCAACGAGCAAAAATTGAGTTCAGCTGATAAAATGTCGATTGTAGCTCAAGCTCGAACTCAGCTCACAAGACACCAACACAACAAACACTTAAAGGCTTTCGAGCTTGTTTGCGAGCCTATCGAGCTGAACATGTCATGGTTCGAACTCGACTCATTTACAGATGAGCTTATTCGTGAGCCGATTCAGTTAAAGACGAGTCGAGTATCGAACGAGTTTCTCTCAAATTAGATATCGAGTCGTTTATAAGCAATTTGGTTCATTAACAACCCTTCTAAAAATAGAAAATAAAAAGAATTAACACAATTCATGAATTTTGAGTGTTTATACGAGAGATATCGACAAGTCTTTTATTTATGATAGATCAATGAAACCCCTTCAGTTAGCCAGAGCATGGCTAATAATAGCCTAACTAGCCTACCGTACTACTTGCAGAAAATTAGCTTAATCATAGAGGATATAAAAAATTACGGAAGGTCACACTTGAACACCACATCAGAATATTCTAATAAACATTATTAGAATATTAAATATCTGGATACTGAAGAAAAAATAATCAAATTTTTATATCATTTCTGAATCAAAACACATCCAAATCCGCAAGGAATAGATAAACGTTAAAAAACCGTGAATATCAAATCACTTTCTCTAATGAAAACATCATTTTCATTTTGGGCCACCACAAGTCAAATTTTAAAATTAAATTTTGATATGAACAGATTATTTGGAGGGTAATGGGCAGTGGATATGTGGAAATAAACAAAACAAAACATTATATTAGCGCATGAAGAAGAAGAAAAAATGACATTAGAGGTAATTAAGAAAAAATATAAAATGTGGGTGGGGTGTGTTTGGACGTCTTTTATGTTGGTTTCAGTTTCATCCATGGGTGGTTCTATTCTAGTTTATGTCCTCTAGTAAGTGTATTAATTATTCTTAATAAACAAAGAATCCTTTGAGCTTGCCCCGTTTTCATCCTACTCCGCCTAGGGCGCATATTGAAAATAAATGTTGGAAAATTGATAATCAATTAATTAAGAAGAGAAAATGGTGATGTTTTCTGTCTGGACATGGTTGGTGATGTTTTTCGATCGCATCGATCGATCAGCAATATAATAAAATGACAATCAAGAAGCAGGCGGCGATTATTACAAAGCTATAATTTGAGCTGAATATTTGTCGTTAGTGTTAGTTGTATGCAATCAGGAGATAATTATGTTAAAAATATTCTACTTATACTCTTGGTGTATAATTATGTCAATAATATTGACAAAATTTTCAGGTGGGTATGTTTTCATTATTCTAACTTTCTGTCTCCTTGTTGTTTCTCATTTCTCAATTTCGTGTTGGGAGGGAGGGAGGGAGGAATCCCGGAGGATGGATATGGTTGTTCTTTTCCATTGAAACTTAAGAGGTTTGGTAATTGGATTTGGACAAAGCCAAAAACTGCCATTTTTTTGGGGGAAGTAGCATTTGGGATGATTTTACAAACCCGTCATCATGCTATGTTAGCGGGGAACACATTAATTTTTTAGATGTGTCCTACTAGTAAATTATAGATAATATATATGATTCAGAATATCGAAAGTTTGGTACACGTTAATTATGCCTACTATGACATGCATGTCATCGTGACATGGACTTTTCGGTCGACCTAATTCTGAAGGCGGTCGACCGAATTGACTAATTTGGGCAGCACGAGAAAGCATTGCGGTCGACCTCAAAGACCACCTGGTCTACCGTTCTTAGTTTAAGTTGTTATTTTTGGTTGACCATAATAAACCTCGGTCGGCCATTTCGTTGGCGTCAGAAACAACATGGTCGACCGTAAAGGTATATAGGTCGACCACTTGATGACAGTCATTAACAACATGGTCGACCAGATAAAGAAAGAGGTCGACCAGATAGACGATAAGTGTTCTATCAATTTATCCAATCATTTGACGTAAAATGAAGATCAAGTGTTGGCGTTGAGGTCGACCTAATCCGGTACGAGGTCGACCGAATACAAGAAAGTCAAGCTATGCCCCGTGTCTTTTTTTGCTTATATATGTCAATTTGTGTGGTTCTTTTGCTCGTCTAAATTACGCTTTAAACCATCATAACTAGTCATAAATAATGATAACAAGGACTCATCAATTATGCTATGAATTGAGGTCGACCGCCTTTAGGATTAGTTCGACTGCAATGCTTTCTCGTGCTGCCCAAATTAGTCAATTCGGTCGACCGCCTTTAAGATTAGGTCGACCGAAAAGTCCATGTCACGGTGACATGCATGTCACCGTAGCAAAATCCTAATTTTTATATCGTATGTTTAGTGAATTTTTTTATTTAGATCATGAATTAACTAGATTTTGGTGCATGATACTATACTCTGACCTCAAATAATTGGCGAACCTCAATTCATAATTCACTAAACCCAAGCCATAAGATCAATTTAATAATAAAAATTAATTAATTAATTATTCTAATTTTTTAAAATATATCGAAGTACATCTGATGGGTGCGAACGTATGGATATATTATACGCTATATATATAAGTCAAACTGCTATATTTCTCGGGTATATGATACTCCGAGTGCTTCTAATGTGATATTTTTACTTAGACCATGAATTAAAATATGTTTAAGGTATAATACTACAACCTAAATTATAATGCATACCCATACAAGATTCCATAAACTCAAACCCGAAGATCAAGTTAATAGATAATAAAATTGACAATTATGATTCGCTGAAGTACAACGAAGTATATCTATCATTTGGAGTATGGTATACTGCAGGAGTACCTTAGTTGTTATCAAATACATGTAAGGGTATTTGATATGTTGCTCGTTCTCTAATCACGTTATGTTGATCGTTACAAGTGTCAATTCTCGTCCCTAATTTTGTTCCAACCGGCCAACTTACTAAATAAGGCTATTTTTCCAATGTCTACAATGGCAGACCCGAGATTCTTGATAAGAGGTGTCGGGTGAGGAAAATAAATCAATAAATAAAATTAAACATTAATTCATAAATGCATAATTTTATTGTTTTAACAGCGATTCATGATGACTTTTCATAGTTTGAAAGGTTTGTAAACTGAGTTTGTTCCTCCTGTTGCGAATCATACATTTCAATATACACAACTAAGGGCCCGCTTAGTATCATTTTGTTGCTGTTGTGGTTGCAGTGGTGTTGTGTAAACAGATGTACAACCATAACAGGAAAAAAAAGAAAACACAAACCTGTTTAGTTGATAAATTTGAAAAATCATGAAAACTGACAACAAGAAACAAAAACACGTTTAGTTACTACTATAAGAACTAAAAACCATAAAAAAGAGATATGTCCTCAATATTAAGCGAAGTCTCACAAAAGTCAACATACCTAAGATCATTCATGTTCCTTACAAAAAAATAATACTAAACATGATTATCACTCCATAACTGGTTAGCAATGGCATCACGCTTCTCGGTCATCTCACGTGTAGCTGCATAGCTGACGTTGAACTCAGTGAGTGGTAGTTCAACCCCAGAAGTCGAACCTTCTTCATCTTCATAATTTTCATATTCATGAAATAGTTTATCATCTTCGGCATGAATCTTGATGAAATTATGTAAGGCGCAACAAGCAATGACAATACTTGTTTGCTTCCTCAAGCTATACGACCGCATGAACTTTAGAATCGGAAACCTTGCCTTTAAAACTCCGAAGCAACGCTCAATCACATTATGCAGACTTGAATGCCGAAAGTTGAATAATTCTTTACGCCCTCTTGGTTCGCCTCTACGCCTCATCTCTTGAAAATGAAAGGTAGCTCCTCGAAATGGTGCTAGAAATCCAGGGATATTTTTGAAATCCAGACTCCACAAGATAATAGTTACCTAAATGAATATGTTGAAAATAAACTAATAAGATCTCACTATCACTCATATTGTATTAATAAATGAATGAAATGTAGATATCATACCTTTTGGTGGCATTGGAAAATCATTATCTGGATTTGCGATTGTCTCCATTAGTATTCTAGCATCATTCGCAGTGCCTTCCCATCCTGCTATTACATAAGTAAATAGCATATCAAAAGAACAAACACAAAACATTTTGTGTTGTTTTTGCTTTTCGTCCTTGATAGGGGATTTGCTCATCAGTTGGAACTACAACATCAATGTGCACTCCATCTATAGCACCAACAGCATCTTGTAAGACAATATAACTATATCAAGATCATCATAATATGAAACATGTGCAATATGAAATAAAGGATAAGAAGTTAACCTTAAAATACGGGTAAAATTTTGAGTTATCCATGATCTGCTCTGGAACCACACCCATATCTGGTGGTTTAATTAGCCTTACTGCAATTTTATTGACTGCTTTCAACACTATGCCAAAGTACTTTGATATAGTGGATGTGGAATGCTGGAACTTTTCTGCGCCATCTCTAGTGGTCTATGAGTGTCCAACAACTTTCATAAATATTGCAACTTGTTCTTCAACTGTCACATTCTTTGTTGATTCCAACCCTCCATATCGTTTTAGTTCCTCACATAGCGAACAAATGTCCTTTTATCCATCCTTAACTGCTCATATATTCGAATTGGATGTCCACGGAGAATCTCTTGCACCCAATCATGTCCTCTTTTATCTGATGTTCTACAAGGAGTTTTAGAAGATGACTTCCTCCACTCATCCTCCATCAATGCTAACATTACTACTACTAATTTATCGTCATCAGAGTCTGATGATGAATCTGAAAAAGTAGCCATTAATATGTGTATACAAAGTAAAGTAATGAACATCCATAGAAATAACATCACAACACATTCATTACAAATCATAATCAAATCCAACATTCATACAAATATTCATTACAAACCAACTTCAAACCAAATGATAACACTCCAAAATAGTACAGAACAAGAGAGTTTTAAACATAAAAAAACAGCCAAAACAGCCAAAGCATCCATCACATCCAAAGTGCAACAAATCACGCCTCCTCTCTTCGGACACATTCAAGAACACTTTTTGATATTCTTTAGAATCATGGAGACACTTCACAGCTGATGCAAACAAAGCACCATTAACTTTCATCTCATACAAAAGCTTGACACACTCCATAAGTTGCCCATCATCACTTGGCTTGGAGGAGACTTCACCTCCTCCCACAGATGAAGAAGCCATCTTTTGTGCCTCACGCTCAAATTTCATTTTCTCTCGCTCAACCATGGATGACAACAATGTTCCTATGGACTCAGCATAGCTAATCTTATCTCGCTTTCTTTTTTTCCCCTTGCCTTTGTTTTTGTTCTTATCCTCCTTACCAACAACAGTAGTTGCACCAATTTCTTCCTCTTCACCATCAAGATTAGTTACCTCAACACTTTTGGTTGCAGCCAACTCTTCCTCATTACTACTAGAAGCAACTTTGGTTGAAGGACAAGCATTATTTCCAGAAGTAGTAGTGTCACCAAATATGTAGCACAACTTGTCATATTCTAGACATCCATGCTTTCGGAATCTAAGATGCAACTTTGATCCCTACACTCATTAATAAAATCATCTCAAATTAAGTAAAATGAGTTTTTAACATTCATTTTAATTAGTATTATTATTATTGAAATGAGATTTATTTATTACCTTGATAACACTTTCCCAAACATGTTCTTCTGCACTAACAAAACCAGTTGAACCTTCATATCCCACTCTAGTATGACTAAGCAATGTCTTGAAAGCTCTGAACCTACCTCTTAACACATTAACCTTATTCTTCACTTGAGTCTTAGTATAGTCTCTTTTCAACCGCTCTTTCAAACCAGCAATGAGATTGGCGAATCCAGTTGGTGAAAAGGTTGAAGTAGCACGATTTCCCTTTTTAACTTCTTCCACCAAAAGATCAATGAACACAGATTCAGCTTTATCACCCCATATTTTGCTATCATCCCTCTCCCCATTATCATTTTTCTGAATCTCCACACAATCAACATCACCATTTTCAACAATTTTCTCCATAACTGAGGTAAACCACAAAACAAAGAACATAGCAATCAATCCAAATTCACAAATAACTAATCTAGCAATCACTACATACATGCCAAATTCATGAACATATTCAGAAAGTATAGATTAACATAATACTTTGAAGAAGTCGAAATTACCTACTGCGGGGAGATGGAGTGAGGCTTTTATGGAGGGAAAGTGGTGGCGGCAGGCAGACTGGCGGCGGCGGCATTATGGAGGGAAAGTGGTCGGCGGACTGGCGGCGGCGGCAGGGCGCGCGGGCGTCGGCGGCGGCTGTGTGGGCGGACGTCGGCGGGCTGGGCGGGCTGCGCGGTCGGGCTGGGTCGGCTGCGCGGCGCGGAAGAGAGGAGGCGGCGCGGAGGCGGAGGTGTCGGGGCGCGGAGGCTGGGCGAGCAGCGACTGCGGAGGTGGCGGCCAGCGCGGCGGGGAGGCGGAGGTGGTGAGGCGACGCAGAGGTGATGCCTCTGTTGAGAAGAAAATGGAAGGGTTTGGGGGGGGGGGGTTGTGCTAAAAAAAAGAATTTTTTTTGCTTCTGTGGAGATTCGAAAACTGGTCTGGTTTAATGAAATCAAGTGCCCAACTAGTAGGAATCCCGTGTGCAACATGTTTAAGAATCAGGTCCAAAGCAATAAATTGTTGTTTCTCATATTTGGGCCTTGTTGTGCAACTCTTATTCACAACAGAAAATAAAAACCCCACTAAACACGATTTTTTTTCTTGGTTTTCAAAATTTCATAAAACAAAACAGACAACAAAAACAAGCAACAATACTAAACGACAGCAATCATTCATAAATTGATCATTCAACTGATTTTGAAGAATTTTCTTGATTAACTGTATATCTGAAAATGCTCTTCGGAACTTACAGTTGCAACAAGTAAAGTCAACACTAAATTCATATGGGAAATTTGAACGAGAAGTGTTCAGAGTGGCCGCAGCAGGTGTGAACGTGAGAGTTTTACGAGAGTGGGGCCGCTGACAACTGGAGTGTAAAGCGGACTGTTAGTGTGTGATATGAGATCCATTATGAAATCTCTCCCAACAACTCAAGTTATTGGGATCAACTAGTTCTTGACAAGATATATGAGCCTTCTACGATCAAGAGGTCCTGTGTTCGAATACCGATGACCCCATTTGTGAAGCACATGATATTCTTGTATTGAGACCTGTGCAAATGAAGCCCGTATGAGTTGACTCCCTTTTGTTTGAGGGGGCATATTAGTGTGTAGACTATAGTTATTAGAAATGTGTCGAAGATCCCAAATTACAGTTCTTACAAAAGTCAAACTTGTAGAATGTTTGACATGGTTTCAACGTCTAAAGTAGAAAAAGACTTCTAAATAACGCGGCCAAACACAGACTTAGTAGTGATAAAAATAGTGAGTTGTTGAGTGATGTATGAGTTTGAGCCAATTCCAACTAATTAATATGTTGGGGGTAAAAGAATTGCCTTCACACATATAAAAGGATTATTACATTTTCTTATAAAGATTTAATTATTACTTAAGCTGTTGTAAGGTAGGGATGACAACAGGTCGGGTTGGGACGGAGCAGATAGTGCATATGTGTTACCCTACTAAAAATAGTTCGGGTTTTACCTATACCCATATCCACATAAGAACCAGGTAGAAAATCAAAATCATGCACATACTCGTTCGGGTTGCGGGTATCCACGGTTATCCATCGGTTATAATTTCTCTTTATAACTACAACCAACATGTTAACATTCACACGCATACTCACATTATACAAGTGGAAAAGTACTACAATAATTCGAAATTGTATATTTGTATGCTAAATATAAAATATATTGATAAAAGTGATGATAATTTCTAAAAAAAATATATATGCATGTGCATAATCATTAATTAGGCAGATTCGGGTTGGATAGTGTGAAAACCGTGCCCACCCATTACCCTCTATGTTTGGGTTCAAATTTTACTCGTAACCACCAAAAATTCTTCAGGTTTGGATTTTACTCTATCCAACTAGATCGGATTCGGGCGGATACCCACGATTACGAATATTTTTGTCATTCCTACTACAACACACAAATTAATGAATTTTTTAAAATACTAGAATCACAGAATTTCTCCTTTTTTGAGGATACATCCATGTACATAAACTTATTGATCCAAATAAAATTTTAGGCTTAATACCAGAAAAGGGCCCATAGTTTGGAGTTTGGGTCATTTGTACCCCTATGTTTATCCCGCGTCACTTTTGTCCCCAAGATTATAGTCCGTTAACCAGCTCCGTTAGTTTTTGACCGTCAACTGTTGACCGATGACGTGTCAACCAAAAAAATGATTAGTTTCCATGTCATTACAGAAAACATGATTTTTTTTTGTAAATTATAATTACCGAAAAAAAATTCAAAGCAAAGTAAAGTAAAAACGAAGTAAAAAGGGGAGCCTGGCTTTACTCGATCCCAAATCTCTCCTTCCCTTCTCCTTCGAAAAGCTCCCAACCCCAAGGAACAACGACTCCTTCATCGTCGATCTAGGAACGGAGAAGCGTGGATTCGGCGGCCAGTCGTCGTCGGGACAGCGTCGCAGGCTTCAATCACAGCGGCGGACTGTCGAACCAACCCACCTTCGACTTTAACGACGAAGACTCCTGACGCCGACGACCTTCCTACATCAACACCGACGCCGACGATTGAGGAGTTGGCGCCACTTTCATTGTGAAGCAGCAATCGATTGGGTCTCGATGTTGGTTTACCCCCAATTCTCTCAGCCTTCGACACTCTATCTTAACTTCCCCCAACTTCTAGGGTTAACTGTTTTCGCAAAAATTAGTAGGGAACAAAGGGAAATAGAGAATGGGGAAGGTGGTTGTGGTATTTGAAGTTTGTACTGAAGAGGTTGTTGTAGAGGGACCGCGAATTGGGTTGTGAAGACGAGCATGCCCTTGTAGCCGAGCAAAATTGGGTATGTACGTCATTCTTTCAATTGCTTTATCGTAATTTTGGAAGCATTTGGTTGTTTGTTTATAGTATATCTCCAACTTGTGATTAAACAACTCTTGAGAATGCATGCTTCGATTAGAAAAATTCATTATCTAACCATCTATTCTCAACTTGTTGGAACCGGGCAGGATGGCAAATGACACTATCGACCTTATCATCCATCATGGTGGTCACATGGATTATTTGGAGGGCAGCCCGCGTTACCTCAATGGGAAGTGTGAAGAAGTTAGCATTGATAGGGACTACATATCATATTTTGAGCTCGAATCGGTGGCCACTCATTACTTCCACTATGCAAGAGTCGAGAGAATGTGGTATATGTCACCTTCATCAACCATTGAAGCCGGTCTGTATGAGGTAAAGTCGGACAATGATGTCATGGATGGATTGCTGCCAGCAATTGTGAATTGGCAGATTGTAATATTCTTCGAATGCACTGAAGATTTGGCTGTTGTGGACGACAATGAGGCTGATGCTTGGGGTTATGGGGACGAACATGAATATGATGGTGAGGGTTCTGTGAACCGCGATATTATTAATCATTTGATGGATGATGACTGTCGAACTTCAGATGATGAATTTGTTGAAGCCATGGGGAATCTAGGCATCCATCAACGGAGGAGGAAAGTTCATACTAATGAATGTGATTCGGGAGAAGAGGTTGAGCTATTAAACCAGTTTGAAGATGGTGCTAACTTGGAAGCTCTTAAACCCAAACTATAAGCACATACGAAACAAACGACAACCTAGTTCCCACCACCTTCAGCTCACGAGATAACCTAACATTTTCCTCCTTAAGCTAAGCTAAATCATGGCATGAGCGATGCTTTGCCTTCTTCCTTCGCTCGCCCTTATCTTCGGAAGCTGTCAATCTCATTTTAAGTGAAGAAATCTGCTTCTTCATATCATCGTTCTCTGCCGAAAGTGCTTAAACAATATCCTCTTCTAGACCAGGACAATACTGATCCATCCACACAAAGTATTTGCAATCCACCGTTTCTTCCTTCCAAAATGGGCAACGATAAAATTCTCTCCCCGGATTCCTCCCAGTTCCAGAGACAAAAACAACAGCTGGACAGTTATGAACGCACCGAGGCACATGAGAACTAGCATAGCTCGATTCGATTAAACTCTTCCCTTTTTTCCTTGCATTCATTGCGATAAACTTGGATTCTTAAACCCTCCAATCTGGTACCCAGTCCACCGCGTCAGTCTACCCTTCGATTCATCGCTCTTGCCTTCGATCTGCAACCCCGGCGTCGTCTTCGTTGCCCTCGATTCCGCCAAATCGTGCCGTCTCTGCTCCCCCGGCTTCGTCTTCGCTGTCCCCGATTCTGCCAAATCGCACCGTCTCCGCTATCTGCTCCCCCAACACGCTCTTGTCTTTGGTCACCGCCGCATCTCTTCGTGCTCTGCTCGTGGAAAGAGATAAGATGAGGAAGATAAAGATAGAAGGAATATAAGCGGTGGGTGAAAATGTGGGTGAATTTTTTTTCATTTAATAAAAAAAAATCTGACGTGTCGGTGACATGGCAGACACGTGGGGCACAAAGTCAACAATAGGCTTACCACCGTTAGGTTGACCGTCAAGTCTAATAGTCAACGAAACGGGTAGGACAAATTTGACATGCGGACTATAATCTTAGGGACAAAAGTGGCGCGGGATAAACATAGGGATACAAATGACCCAAACTCCAAACTATGAGCCATTTTCTGGTATTAGGCCAAAATTTTACTGAACCTATATCCCAAACAAAAGGCAAGGAACCAACACATCCCAGTATTTAGTTGTGGCATTATTTGACATTTTTGCTTTTGCGATAAGAACCAAATATATATGGTCACATCTTGATCATTAAAAATAAAAAGAGCTAATGTATATAGTTTTTTTACAGATAGCTTGAATTACCAAGCAATCGAAAGATACAGAGTTTAACCACCTTATCAAAGTCAATGCATAAAAATCAAAACAAACCAAATCCATTATGTGTAGCGTAAGAACTTTACGCATCACAAAATCGACTTCTTACACCAATGAAATCTCTACTAGTATATCTTGTTCATTTTGCATAAATAAATTTTCATGCACAGTTTTATCTAGGGATAGCTTGAATTACCAAGAAATCAATAGATACAGAGTTTAACCACCTCATTAAAGTTGTCCATGCTCAAAAATCAAAACAGAACCAAATCCATTATGTGTAACGTAAGGACTCTGCCTGTCACAAAAACCAGCAATGCTATTTGAATTACGATGAATAAACTAAACCTAGAATCACTGGTATACTTCAACGGACCCATAATCTATGCTATTATCACTCGACCTATCTTGATGAGCCCAATATATCTCTATGTTAGTCATCTTCTTAAGTTGCTATATATTTCAAAGTAGTCCACACGTACGTGTAACAAATTTTGAAGTATCATATAATTGAACTTCAGTATGTCACAACATCATCAAATAGTCCTACATGTAACAAATATGAACTTGATCCACATCAATTACAATGAATTCCATAGGAGGGAAGGAAACAAGTGAAAAGGCGGAGAACAGTAAATAAAGACCGGTGAAAGAGCAAGATCGTACTGTGGGAAACTCTTGAAGACATGCATGAAATATATAGAATAGAGCATCTATCTATGTATCTCCTTTGTTATAATTGAACTGAGAACACATAGCTAGAGCCTAGAGGACATAGCTGTCGTCGTTAATGTCTATATATAATATTAATAAAAATTGAAATATAAAATAAAGCAGTAATATCTCTTTTTTTATGTCACTATATTGAAATTATTCCTTTTTCCACTTGAAATTTGCTAACATCAATTAATTTAGCACAAATAGAGATGCTGACTTCTTTTGGGCTTTACCTCTTTCTCCGGTTCTATCAATTATATTCTTCCAAACACACCTCTGGTTTCCTATAATATAACGACAAACTAGCCTTCCTCATTTTTATAATCAGATTTTCTATTTTATGTTATATTATTTCTTTTGTATAGTTGTAATTATTTTATTATGAATCTGGATTTTTATTTCCAGGTCAAGACCATTCACCGACTGTATATATGTACCTTTAAAATTATTCATTATTTATATAAAAAAGATAAATAATGAATGTACAATTATTTAACCGATTAATTGAAAAAGAAGGAGATGGCAAACCAGGTAGGAGACGAGGAGGGTAAGGGAGAACAAGTTGTCAACCCTGTTAAGTGTTAAGTCCATTGGCCCATTGAGCAACTAGTCAGGTTGAAGGTTCCTGTCCGATCGTTTTAGTTTGGATGCATAGAAAAATCATTATATTGATCATATATTTGTAAACTACTTCAAATCTCAATATTCAATGTACATCGATCCAACATATGGGTACTAAACAATAACATATAACATTACACAAACATAACAGTTCGTACTTCGATCCAACTTATATTGGAGATTCAAACAAACTCATTTAACATGAAAAACAATGTCGTGCGACCTCCAACCTGCAAACCTTTGCTGCTTGTCAACTCGCGAGTGTATGTCGTTCGTTCGTTTTACTTACCAAGTCAGAGTCATTCTTGGTCAGCCCCAGATCAACCCGTGAGTTGACAGACTTGAGGATGAACGTTGAAATGACAATGACATGAATATATGGAAGAAAACAAAGGGTGATTTTGACAATGCGTTGTTTTTATGTGAAGTCAAAGAAAACCAGAGAAAATTAGTAGCAAAAGCTCATCATCATCATCATTAATTCTCTGGTTTCTGTGTTTTGTCTCCCTCCCACCCTCCTCAATCCATCTTTTCTTTCTTTCCTTCCGTCCGACAACAGAAAGAAACAAGGACAGGCAGAGAGACAGACATACATATGTCGAACCTTTCAGGTGAAGAAGAAGGCAGCTTCTCCTCCGGTAACACCGCCAATAGCAACGCTATTTCTGGGCAGCCGCCGGCTGAGAAGAAGCCCAATTTGCCAGGCACCGCAGGCAAGCCTCAATAACTTGAGTTGTTGAGAGAGATTCGATAATAAATCTTATTTCACACACTAAAATATAGTTCTAATCGAAACCCGAATCCTCTATATGAAACTCAGCTCAATTTATGCTTTCCTTTCTTCACCGCGTGGTGATAAAGCTAGAGAGAGATTAATGATATGGTTAGTCATTATAAAAAAAAATGTTTAGGGAGTATCTAAAGATATAAGATTTATGGTTCAATCTCCCTCAATTACTCTAGTTACGGACTCGATGAATTGTTTTTTTTTTCTTCATATGATGTAACAATCTTTTACAGTTCAAGAGGTCTCATACTTGAATCCTTATAATCTGCAAAATTGATAGTTGATATTTGAAACACAAAATACGAGTGGCCTGTACAAATTTTAAGCACTTCATTTGTCCTTCCCTTTGAGTAAACTAATCTTGGCTAACCTCGACTGAAGTTATTGGGAAGCTCAACGATCTTGTACTTTTTTTTTTTTTATGTCAATGAGATGATGAACTTTATGTTATTGTGAGCTATATGTATATTGATTACCGAAACATGCAGATCCTAGTGCAGATGTGGTGGTGTTGTCGCCGGAAACAAACCAATTTGTGTGCGAGATATGTAACAAAGTGTTCCAACGAGACCAGAACCTACAGATGCACATGAGAGGTCATAACCTGCCATGGAAGCTGCGGTAAAGAACCACCACTGAGGTCAGGAAGCGGGTCTATATCTTCATTTGCTTTATTTGTTTCAATTCTGCTTTATCGTCTATTTCTTTTTTTTTACCGAATCCACATATAACTGCTGGTTTTGAGTAGGGATGTTCATTCAGATTCGGTTTTTCGGGTTTCCCTGAAACCGATCCGATTATATACATTTTTGGTTTTTCGGGTTCGGGTTCATTTAGGGTTTTTCGGGTTCAGTTTTGCTTATCGGTTTTTCGGGTTTCGGCTAAAAACCTCCAATGAATAGAACTCAGCCCGTATTTTTAGGCGTTCGGGTTTTGGTTTTGCTTTAACCGAACCCGAAAAGGAATTTTCGGGTTTCGGGTAACCGGAACCTGCAAGTCCTTATTGGGTTTGGGTTCAGTTTTAGTGATTTTCGGTTTCGGGTTTTCGGGTTTTTTCGGGTTTTGGTTTGGGTAACCGAACCCGACCCGAACTGACACCCCTAGTTTTGAGTAGTCAATCGTTAGAAATCCGAATGAATACGATTTGAATACCCTTCGAGTATTCAGTGAATTGATGTTACGCTATAACATGAACAATGATAAAAATAATTCTAGAGCTACTAAAACGCACCTTCTGTGATTTATCAAGAAAATGCAAGCGATTATGACACTAAAGATGTAAAAATGATGTAACTCTAGCCATAATACAGGGGTTAAAAAGTAGTATTTTCTATGTATCATCAATGGGTCTTGGGGTATGTGTGTTGATTTTCGAGCCATCATGAACATCCCATCCCTAGACTTGATGATATGCTCGATGTGTTGTGTTGTTCTAGTGTATTCTCGAATGTTTATTTGAAATATTGATACCATCAAATTAGAATGAAGGAAGGTAATGATTGGAAGACGACTTTCAAAACAAAATAGGCAAAATGCAACTGTATATCCACAACTATCAGGTTTGTGACAAATATATCCATAACTATCGAAATACACAAAATATCCATTTCCATCCACTTCGTTAACTCCGTCGGTTAACTTGATGACTGGACATACGGTGGATTCTTAGTTTGCGTGTTTCTGGCCCCACTAAATGATGTGGATTAAAAGAGAAAAAAATTAGGCAAAATACAGTTGTATATCCACAACTATCAGGTTTGTGACAAATATATCCACGCCTATCGAAATACACGAAATATCCAAAAATCAGAAGATTGTATAACAAATATATCCACTTTCGTTTGAAACTATAACGACATGTCAGACGACGTTAAATTGACTAACAAAATGCTGAATCGATGCCATCTCACCTGCCATAAGCCAAAAAGCAACCAAACTTTACACTGTTATCTGTTAGACCTCGATGTTGTAGTCTTCTCTGTTGGCGATTTGGTTAGATTCAAACTTGGTATCACCATGGCACCGATTGCATGGAAGCTGTCAGAGTAAAAGTGAGGCAATGGTCGGGGATTGTGGTTGGAATCAAAATCTGGGCTTGGGATAGGGTTATTTGGGGGTGGAGGCATCAATCGGAGGAGGATCAGTGGTTATCAGGCGTGTTTCTAGGTTGGATTTTTAGTCTCGCTGTCTGTGGTTTTTAGGGTTTTTAATTTTCTCTCTCTTTTAATCCACGTCATACAGTGGGGTCAGAAACACGCCAACTAAGCATCCGCTGTTTGTCCAGTCATCAAGTTAACTGATGGAGTTAACGGAGTGGACAGAAATGGATATTTCGTGTATTTCGATAGTTGTGGATATATTTGTCTCAAACCTGATAGTGGTGGATATATTTGTCACAAACCTGATAGTTGTGGATATAAAACTGTATTTTGCCTTTATTCAACTAGTTTATTTGGCATCTACGTGTAAAGTTTTGTTGCTTTTTGGCTTATGTGGCAGGTGAGCTGGCATCGATTCAACATTCCGTTAGTCAATTTAACGCTGTCTGACACGCCGTTATAGTTTCAGACGGAAGTGGATAGATTTGTCACACAACCTTTCGATTTTTGGATATTTCGTGTATTTCGATAGTTGTGGATATATTTGTCACAAATCTGATAGTTGTGGATATACAGCTGTATTTTGCCAACAAAATATGGTATTTGTGAGAGGTTGGTAATGCCATTTTGTTTAACTAATTCTCCGAGTACTTTCATGAAACTGATGAACCATGCTTTGCATGCTTACTTTGGAACGTTAATGGTTGTTTCATTGGATGACATTCTTATATTCCCAAAAATTAGAGGACAATATTAATCACCTTAAAAAATTTTATAGAATGTTAGAGATGAAAAAGTGTATGCCAACTTCCAGAAGTGCCTTTTTTTACAATTAAAAGCTTGTATTTCTTGGTTTTGTTGTTAGGGCCTGAGGAATTCAGGCAGAGGAGGAGACGATCTAGCCATTAAGAGGTGGGCAACACCATTCATTATCTGTGAAGTGTGAAGCTTCCTTAGCTTGCTATGATTTTATAGACGGTTTATGAAATTTCTTAGCAATATAGTCGGCCCTCTAAATGTTGTAATAAACAAAAACCTTCCTTTCCATTTGGGAAACGGAATAAGACGAGGCCTTTAACTTTCTTAAAGATCGATTCAAAAATTCTTATGTATCAATATTTCTTGATTTTGATAAGATTTTTGAGATTGAGTGTGATGAATCTGGTAGGAATCGAAGCCATGCCAATGCAACAGGGCAGGCCAAACGCCTACTTCAGTGAGAATTTGATTGAGTCTACTTTAAATTGCCTAACCTATGATAAAGGACACATGCTTTTGTTCGAGCAATTAAGACATAACAACACTACTAGCCTATTACCCGGCCCGTTGGCCGGATTACTGTATGTTACTCACTTGTGGAATAGGAGAGAAAGCAAGTAAGAGTGAAGGGATTGGGATTCCATTTGATTAGGACCGACCCACTAATCCGATTCTTCCCGACCCCCCCCCCCCCCCCAACCTAAAGGGTCAGAAAGAGTCAATAAGAAAATACGAACGGAGAGGATTAGTCATATTCATATATCTTGACTCTTCAGAAGTGGGTCAAACAGGATCAAGGTTGGGTGAGGAAAATTTTTAGCGCTAAGCAGAGTTCTGGGTTGAATAGCTTTACTTAGGCCTAGAAATTGGTGTTGATGCAAACTGTAGTTTTTATTATACCATCATCAATCATCATTAAATTAGTCCTGGGCATCCCTCCCCGTTGTCGGTATGAATTCTAATGATGGCTCCGTTCCTTGCACCAGCCTTATCAGCGAGTTGTCATCTCGAGCATGATTTGCCTATGTACAAATTATACAATTAGAGTATGAAATTGAATTCAAAGAAAAGGAAAAGAGATTTCTATCACATGCCAATAAATACACACATAATAGTTGAAGCTAAGTGAAAGTCATTACTCGCACATCAATTCTCAAAAATTACAGACTAAACAATGGCTAGAATGGCACTGAAACTACCAAGAACCATGGACGAAACAACTTGTCAAATTAAATAATCCTTATACTGAAACTACCTTCTAACTTGAAATAAGACATGATCACAGTTCATAGCTCTCTTCTCACTATGAATTGGTTGCAGCTCGTCTTATCACTGCCTCTCAAGCTCAATTCAAACAGAATAGAGACCGTTATGTAAGATAACCATATCCTTACTGATCATAATTCCTTTCTTCGCTCCATTTTTGTCAGAGAAAAGAGTTACCCCCCTCTCCTGCATTTCCCTTTCCCCCCTCTCTTCTCCCTCTTCTTCACAAACCGATCCCTAAACCAGCAACAACAACACAAAAATAGCCTTCGCCTCTGCCATCTCCATCTACTGAACGCGTTGGTGGCAAGACAGGACTGCAGAAGCAAAATTTTCTAAAATCAAACTAAATTTTTTGAAGGAGACTCAACCACGAAAAAATAGTAAAGCAACAATGCTAATAGTTCAGATGGTTGGTTTTGATGTTATACATTGCTTTTGTTCTGGTCTCCAGTATATCAACTGCAATAGAGATGTTTCCTCCAATCATCTTTAGTGCACGATTTAGAAGCAAGTCCTACTGTTTGTGTCAAACGGAAACATTCATGGGTTCTTAACTCCCCTGTTAGTGTAAAAGCAGCAGCAACAAAGAAGTTTGACAACACAGCAAGCACCCAGGCAAAATGATACAATGCAGTAGGTTATATGTGTCTCGAAGGTTTTGAGTTACTAAAGTTCATGTTAAAAATAAACATGAATTAAAATGGATAATTCTATTAAGCAAACATCCCCTCCAATCATACAAAGATCAGATATCCAATTCACAAACAATTAAGCCATAAAAAATCATCACACATCCACCACCTTTGATTGCCTAAATTTGGTTTTTCGCAAAAGTTATGGACTCTTAAGGGAAACGTTCATGGGTAGTCTGTTTCATAACTCTAGAGAGCACAGTAAGCAGCCACCAGCCAGACACAGTGCGGTAGGCGAATATGATTCTCAATTCACAATTTCTCACCACCGGAAGTAAGAACAGACCATAATAAGCGTAGCGTTCATGGGTGGTCTGTTTCATAGCACTACTACACAATTTGTTAAAAAAGAAAGAAAGGTATTTAGCACCACGGCGGAACAATTTTTACAGGCCAACAACGACAACATGCTGCAACCACCAGAACTGGTATCACAACTCATAGGGAAAATCAAAAGATTTACTCTCAAATTAAGCAGTTACAACATCGAGCAATTGTCAAGCACATACACCATCACAAAAGTCACAGTACCTGATTCACAAAGCATTAAAACATTTGAGGACATTTTTGCAAAGGTACAACTTATATGTCTTTTTTCCAAGCCATTTCCATCAAAATGCTAATAAATTTGCAATGCATAAAACAAACGGGCCAAAACTTGAAATTCAGCCTGTTTGACGACCCATGCCAAATTCTAATTATTCTTTACTTTTAAACTTTCTATTTGAAAATAAAAAATAGTGAAAGAAAAGAGACGACTACAATTCGCCATTTGCACATCACTTATTCGGGAATAAAACCATAGAAATTCAAAAGGAACTGAAAATGTTTAGGATCGTTGTAATGTTTTAAATAACCAAATAGATCTTTATGTTAATTTTTTACTAACAAATACCAAACTATTCCCTATAAAATACACTATAATTTGATCATTATGATATCAAATAATTATAAAATATATATTTGAAATGATAAAAATTGGAATAATTGTGTTGGTCGAGGTTGAACCATTGAATAACTTTAAAATACATTATATTTTAGCCACTAAGATATAAATTAATAGCATAATATATATTATGTCAGAGAAATTAGCTTATTTTAGAATGACAAACCAATGATGTTCATTTATTTTACTTGATGGCCAAATCCCATGTAGGTCAGGCACATTCAACTCTTTTATTTTATGGTTGGCGGTTAGCCCATTAGATACCATGCATTAGTTTATTGTTAAATGTTTTATTTTTAACAATAAAAAGGAGTATTATTTTTACCTTTTCATATATATTTTGTCACCACGGAGAAATAAAATGGCTTAAAGAAAAAAAATTGACACTCCTGGACCCGTTTAAATTCACATGTGTACGGTAAGTTGGCCCGTTCCACAGAGGAAAGAGAAAAAAAATTGACACTCCCTATTCTACCATTCCTACAAACGCTCATGGAGTAGGGAATTTGAAATGGGGGAAGGATTTTTTCCTCCCTGCTATTATATGTTTTTAATTTAAAAAGATACAACAAATGTGCTTAGTGTGATTGGTTATTATCCTTGTTTTTCTTTAAAATGGTCATGGTTCGAATCCCAGTACGTTTTTTTTAATGAATAAAAAAAAGTAATTGTGAAGACCAAAATGTCCTTCCTACTTTCACTCTCGTTGCAGGAAATTTGAAATGGGGCTCCCGTTTTTCCCTTCGGCGTATTATATTATGTGTAGATTCTTGACCAAAAGTGTTTGTTATCCACACTGATCGTGAATATTTGAAGTATCTCAAGGCACAACACAAAATCAACAAATTACATGATCATTAGGTTGAGTTCATTGAACCATTTCCTTATTTCTTAAGATGTAATCAAGGCAACGAGTAGTTGATGCCCTTTCTCATCGGTATACACTTATCTTAGTTTTAGATGCAAGTTCCTTAGATTTGAACATATTAAAAACCTGCATTAAATCTTCAACTAATGCGGAAAGAAAGGTTAATGGAGTCTTTTGGCGACTAAGTTGCTATATTATACTACTTGATGGACAAAACTAAAGTAGTCAATATGACCATATCTCAAATGCGTCAGGATGTTATAAAGAGTAAAATTAAAACTTGGAAAGGATGCTTGCCTTATGTTAAATTTGACTATAATCATGAGGTTTCATTGTATCACTAACTATTCGCGGCTTGAAGTTGTGTATGGGTATAATTATTTGACTCTTAGATGGTTATTAGAAGTTTAAATTAGTAAGAGCCTTATGATGCACACTCAAATTATTGTGTTTGATATAACCATATTCGATACATTTTCCTCTTCTTTCGATGCGTTTTTAGTATATTTTGCTATGTTTGATGTGAATATCATAATTATTGGATCAACGTGCTTATGATAGACCTAGAATGTGTTTTTGTATCATTTATTCCTTTTTGGTATTATTTTGTGCTTTTCAAGGTCAAACACAATCTACGATGATTTGGATCGACAATTGGATCAAGTTGGAGGATTAGGAAGGGATAATTACTAGAAGATCAAGGTTCATCAATTAAACAAATAAATGGTGGGGAAGTCTTCATGATGTCATCATGTAAGCCCAAGAGAAGTCTACTAGAGAAATTTTATCCCAATCCTGGACAAAAACCCACGACGGTCTTGTGATGGTGCCAACCACCATTGGGCAACACCCATCAAGTCACATTGAAAATCCATGGGGAGATTACTTGTGAGCCAAGAAAGTTAAATTCAGAGGAAAATCTACGGCGGCTCGACTGTCGCTCGTGAAATCTTCTGGAATATTCTTTACTTTGTCCCCAAATCAAGGAATCCAAATCCTAGTGGTAGCAAACACCTTTTTCGCTTTTTGGGGGGAAAAGACATATACACCCCCTTTTTGTTCCACTATAAATAGAGGATAAGGTTGTAGGATTCAGGAGGCGGCAAATAGTAACTCAAATCACTCTATAGAACTCAAGCAAAGAGTCACTCAGCTTGAGAGAGCCTAATTGGCATTCATAGGACGGTGCATCTAATTTCTAAGGAGATGCATTCATCATCGATGGTGGTACCATCCTTCTCTTCTATGTTAGGGTGGGCAACGGGAAACGGGTATTTGGGTATACCCGTACCCGTCCCGTTTTTTAAGGGTTACAGGTACCCATATTACCCGTAATATTTTAAACGGATGGGACTTGGAATTGTACAGTCCTAATATGGGTACCCGCGGGTTACCCGCGAATACCCGTTTGGGTAATATGGGTACCCGTTGTACCCATTCAAAGTACAAAGACAGATTTAATTCAGCCCAGGCCCAGCCCAATTCAAAACTAATTTTCGGCCCTTACCCACTGCACTGAGACCATGAGACGCAGCGGCAGCCCTAGCAGCTTCGGGAGTCGACGAGTCGTAGTGCCTCCTCCCTCCTTGGATCCTTCATTCACCGCCGCCGGCCAGTAGCAGCAGCAGCAGCGTAGGATCTGAGGGACTTCATTCACCGCCGCCGGCCAGCTTCGGGAGTCGACGAGTCTTGATGTGATTGTAACACGCCTCTGAGAAAACATACAGCTTGCTTGTATCCCCCTTTACAGCGCACATAGAAGGTTAGATCAAGACATTCAACTCTCTTTGATATTACATACTCCACCCATCTATCGATATCCCCGCCATAATTGTATAGATTATTAGATTAGTCAAGCTAAATCCAACTCTAAACTTTGTATGCTTTGTGGCCCTGTTGTGCTTTCTTTTCCAGCTTAGTGTGCTGCTAAATGATATAGTCAGCATTCCATTCATGTTCCATCTCGACATTTAGTTCTCAATGATGGGGTTAACTTTAAGGGCACGTTCGATGGCGATTTTGAGAAAGGAACACTTAATGATGGGGTTAATGAGCATTCTGTTATGTGAATTTCTGCAGATGTTGAACTGCCTGTAACTTGTGCGATACTTGTATCTTTGTTTGCCCTCCAACACTTTAGACTGCAATTAACATCATTCAAAGTGAAGAACTTCTTCTGTTTAATTACTTTTCTTATATGTTCATCTTCTGTTTAATTGTTTGAGATTGAATGTGTACAGAATGTCCATATATATCATGCCTTTGTGATTGAATTGAATGTGTTGTACATAGGGGTGGCAATACGGTCCGGTCCGGTTAAATTGGCCCGAATTGATCCGGTCCGGTCCGGTCTTTTTGGAAATATGGGGACCAAAACTTGGATTGGGTACAGTCCGGTTTTGACCCGGTCCGGTTTTGACCCGGTCCGGTCCCAATCCGGTTTTGACCTGTTTTGACCCGTTTTGACCATGTTGCAAAAAATTCAGCAGCATATACCTATTTCCTGGAATGTAAACAACCTGTTTGTAGCAAAAATCAAGCCAAATATGGTCCAATACAAAATCACAACCATCATTGATCATATTCCAAAGCAAAGAAAAAGTCTCCGAGAGAGAGAGAGAGAGATTCCGAAATCTCTTCGGCAACCGTCCGGTGACTCCGCCGTCGTCATCCTCGGCCAAACCGGAGAGCCCCTGCCGTGCTCTGCCGTTCAATCGCTCTGTCTTTATCTCTTCGCCTTCTTTCTTCTTCTTCCGATCAAAATCCAGAGAGCCCGATCTGCCGCGTCCGTAACCAGATCCGATCCGGCGATTAGCTCCCTCCGCAGACTCGTGAGCTCGACAACGACGAAGACAGAGTTGGGGGCGGAGGCTTCCTTTTCCTGGGTCGCGACGGGACGGAGGCTTGCAGGCTGCAGCTGGGTAGCGAGTCGCGACATCACGTCACAGAGAACGAGTCACGACCAGCAACGAGAGAAGAGAAGGTCGCCGTCGCCGTCGTGATGGTCCGAGTCTCCGAGACTCCGTCGACGGCGCGCTGGTCCGAGAGTCTCCGATGGCGATGGGCGTCGGGCGATGCTTTCAGTCTCGAGGGAGAGGGAGGCGGCAGGCGGAATGAAGACTGAAGAGAGGCTGGTCAGCTCTCAACCCTACAGACGACAGAGAACAGAGGCCATGGGTTAGTGGGCCTGGGTAAGTGGGCCGAGAGGCCATGGGTATTGGGTTGGCCTGTCCCTGGGCTGGGCTCAAAATAAGCCTCTAAATCTGTTTTGTAATTATCCGGTCTTCCGGTTTTTAAACGGTTTTGACCCGGACTGGATTGGTCCGGTTTTTTTGCTAATTCTAGGACCAAAGACGGGATTGGATTGTTTTAAATCCGGTCCCGGTCTAAAAACGGTCCGGTTTTTACGGTCCGGTTTCCGGTTTTCAATCCGGTCCCGGTCCAAACTGCCAGCCCTAGTTGTACATAATGTCCATATATATCAGGCCTTCTTTGGTTGCTTTCTAATTTTGTATTGAGTTACTTGTTATAATGTTATTTCTTGTGCTAATTACTAGTTAGGTTTCTAATTTCCAGCATCTGTCTTTTTGGTTTCTGTTGATTAGGTTTCTAGTTTCCATGGCTAGTCAAGGAAATGAAGCCAGTCAAGGGAATGAAGCCCCTCAAACTGAACAATCAAGTAACGATGTGGGTATTGGTAGTGAAGAAAGTGACAAGGATACATCAGCGTCTAGAAAGCGGAAAGCACCTGCCTTTCGATCACCGCATTGGGCCGGATACTCGGTGTTATTAGTTAAAGAAGGAAACCCACCGGTTAAAGTTCGTAAAGCAAAATGCAATCGTTGTGCAATTACCATTGCTGTTGGAAGCACCCATGGACCCAATGGCTTGAAGAATCATAAGATCTCTTGTGACAAGAAACATTTGGAGCAACTTAAACAAACAACTCTGAGTTTGCAGCCTAGTGCCTCCGGGGACGGAGCAGGGGGGAATATCAACTTGGCGATTCAATCAAGAAGAATCACGGTTAGCTTTTGCAGAAATGATTATGCTTGACGAGCAACCATTCAGATTTTGTGAAACGGGAGGGCTTTCGTCATTTCATGTCTCGAGTTTGCCCCATGTTCAAAATCCCAAGTAGGAAGACAGTGAGGACAGATTGTGCAAAGTTGTTCATTCAGAGAAAAGATAGCTTGAAGTCCTTCTTTAAAATTAAAGGCATGGGAAGGGTTTCAATCACAACAGATTGTTGGACATCGTTGAAGAATGATAATTATATAACTATCACAGCTCACTTCATCTCCAGAAGTTGGCAGCTCCATAAGAAGATCACTAGTCATAAAGGGGAGGACATTGCACAAGCGGTGCTGACGTGTTTGAATGAGTGGGATATGAAGAATGTACTTTGTTGCACAGTTGATAATGCTTCGGCTAATGATGCAGTTGTTCGCCATATGAGGGAGAAATTTGAAGAATGGGGGACAAGCATCTCAGGGGGGAGATACCTACACATGCGTTGTGTAGCCCATATCACTAATTTGGTTGTTTCTGATGGCTTAGATGAGATTGGGGTATCAGTGAGAAGGGTTAGAGAAGCTGTGAAGTGGATTACTGCCTCGCCATCTAGAGAAGAGACATGGAATAGAGCAACCAAGAGCATGAACATCCAGTGCAAGAGATCACTAAGTCTTGATGTACCAACAAGGTGGAACTCAACATATCTAATGTTAGAGTCCGCTGAACCATTCGAGATTGCTTTTCCAGTTTATGCAGGGATGTTGCCTGCATTTGAGACTGAGTTAAACAAAATCATGCACTGTGGTGAGGTTGTTGGTCCACCTGGACCGGAGGATTGGGAAAATGTGCGTTGGATGATGGAATACTTGAAGAAGTTCTATTATTTGACTTGTCTTGTCTCTGGCACCTCGTATGTGACATCTCATCTATTCTTCAAAGAGATTTGTGATATATTTGATCACATAGCTAATGTGGAAAAACATCAAGATCCTAAGGTTAGATCAATGGTCGTACGAATGAGGTCAAAGGTTGCTAAGTATTGGGATGAGGAAGCAATGGGTAACTACAGGATGTACAAGATCCTATACATAGCTGCGGCTTTGGATCCACGACAAAAACTGAAGCATGTCCAAAAATGTTTGAAGAAAGTGTATAGGAGGAAGGGTTTTAAACGAGTTTAGAAGTTCTTTGGCTCCCCAGATGGTTGAGGCTTTGATTTGTGGTGCTGATTGGTTGAGAAGCAAGAACAATTTAATTTTAATCGATGAAGAAGATGTGCCTGAATCCGAACAAGAAAAGGAATACCAAGAAGGTATGGGATAGCGATTTACTTTTACTTATAAATATTTACTCTAACTAATGCTTGTATGAGTAACTTGTTATTTGATATTTGTTTAACATAGTATTGCAATCCATTGGAGCACTATCATTTGCTGCTAGTGGAGGGGGAAATTCATCTTCCACAAGTCAGTAGAAGGTAAGAGTATCCCAAGATCTATGTGTTGTTATTTTATAGTTTGGATGTGGAAGTTCAGAAATGAAGGAAAACTAGACTGCATATCTCTATTTTAATCTGTTTTCTCTTGGTGCTTGTACTTTGAATGGCATTTGCTTGATTTTTCTGTCATGTTTTCCCCTTGATGGTGTTGTTATTTTACCAAGCATTTGCTGTGTTTTTTTTTTCTGCCATGCTTTCCCCTTTAATTTGTTAATAATGGAGTATATTTTGGCAGCTTGCAGAGTGCCAAACAGTTTGCAGATTGGCAGCAGGGAGCTTGCAGATTGGCAACAGCAACTTGCAGAACAACAATAGATTGCAGAACATTTACAGCAGCAGTTCAGCACACGGCAGCAGAAGGCAGAACTGCAGCAGCGGGCAGCAGAAGGGAGAACCGCAGCAGAAGGCGACCAGTTCCAGCACTCCAGCATCTTGTAGAAGGACGAGTAGCACAACAGCTTGTAGAAGGAATAGTAGCAGCAGCTTGCAGAAGCAGAAACTTCTTATTTGATATTTTGGTTCTGTTGAATGAAACTTCTTATTTGATGATTTGGTTCTTATAATGATTTATTTCTATGCGTTGTCATTGTTCATGATTGTGTAATTTGCAAACCAAGTATTTGTGATTGGGATGGATTTTGTGTCTTGTGATTGTTAAGCAAGTACAAGTTAAGTTTAAACTTTTGTTAAAATTTTAGTGGTTTAAACTTTGGGTATTTATGGCTAGTATGGGTACCCGTTATCCGTCCCGTACGGGTAATGGGTACCCGTTTCCCATATGGGTTTGGGATATGGGAAGGACTTTGGTCTCCAAACGGGACGGGTATCCCGTCCCGTCCCGTTGCCCACCCCTATTCTATGTAATGTTAGTTCTAATTCGTTGTTAATGATGCAAATTCTATTGATGCTTTAAACATCTCCTTTATATGATATAATGAGATGTTTTAGACTTTGTTTATCTTTGTTATTTGTTGCATATACCATTAGATGTCTTAGTCATGTGCTGTTAATATTATTCGAATACCTTTCAGAAAGTATATCAGCAAGGATTGAGCAACTGAGTATTCAACTTTCTTTTCAGGTACGGGGTTCCATCTAGGGGTGCTACTATAATATTGTTTATAATATCATATTAAGTTGTCAGAAAAATACTCTTATGCGATATGTCATAATCTTATGCGTGTATGATATGGAATGATCCACCCTTCCTTGTTTGATTATTTGTGTAATGGCATGAAACGAAAGCACACTTATTTTATAAAGCTGAAATAATATTAATTGAGGAAGAAAAAGCAGAATAAACGGGGAAATAAAAGGAAAAGACCAAACAAACACAAACAAAAAAAAGTCACCAGAAGAGTGCAAGCAGAACAACGAAACTCCATCCCACACACAAACGTAAAAGGGACAGAAGAAAAAATAAACAACCGATCAAATCTGTAAAGGAGGGAGAGTAGGGGGCTGAACAGGCTTAGGAAAGAGACGAAGCTGGATGGTGTGCATCTATAGGTCAACCACTCATCTCTCGACTTTATTTGCTGCATCTAGCCCCTATGCGAAGTTACGTCCAATCCGTAAGCATACGACCTGGATTGACAAAAAATTCTCACTGAAAATCTTGGAATTCCATTCTAACCAAATGCGCCAGCCAAAAAACCTCCACACACCACTTCTTGGGATTAACAGGATGATTACGTGGCAAAATGTTAATTGTCGTCATGATGTCTAACTGCGCGGCTCTTAGATCCACCAAAATGGTCATCGTCTTCCAAACTGCCATAGAGAAACTATAGAAGAGGAATGTGTGATTATGGTACTCTTCATTCACACCACAGAGAACACACTGACTATGAAAGGACTAACCCCTCCGCTTAAGATCATCATGCGTTAAGATCTTCCTCTAGTGAATAATCCACAAAAACACAAATTTTGAAAGGAACTTACGCGTGCCAGATGACTCTGATTGGAACATCCAACACTACAGGGAAATGATTGCTGACGAGTCACCATAAATGGAGGTGGCCGAGAATGTGGCATTCAGAGAAGGATCCAAAAAAGCTGAGAAGGTCCTGCATAGAAACTTTCACGAGACATAATGTTAAGGACACTCAAAAGACTAAGCCTCTCCCTTTCAGCCCCACCTCTCAAGGTAAATTTAAGTGGTAAAACTCAGGAAACTCGACCCTCAGAAACACCAACAGTCTTAGCAATATGGGAATTCAGCGATTCCACAGCGGCAGCAACCCTCAGAAATTCCTCGACAAGCCTACCATGAATCTAAATATCATGTCAAAGCAAATTTCCGAAACAACTTGTTCAGATTCATAATCGACATCTTGGGGACGAGACCAACTGGACCGCAACAAGTCCTAGGCATTCAATCCGAGGCGGCGTTCTGAAGCTTAAGAACAATAAGTTCCCACCACCAAGAACTCCTTTCACGTGAAAACCACTAGAACCACTTGCAAAGAAGGGCAAGATTCCTGGATTTTAAGTCTGCAACCCCCAATCTGCCAGCCCTCTTGGGGGCTTTATATCTATCCAAAGAAACAAGATGAATATTCCTCTCACCATGCGGTCCTGACCAAATAAAATCATGTTAGAGATTATTTAATGTCTCGATGACAGAAAAATGTGGGTTGAAGATATTGAACATATATAAAGGTTGAATAGCCAAGATTGAGTTACACAAGGTAATCCTTCCTTTAAGTGAAATGAATTTCCCCTTTCGAACGTGTAAACGACTATGCACCTTAAAATGACAACTCCAAATCGAGGGAGAGGAAGGAGAGGCACTGAGAGGGAGTCCAAGATAATCATTGGACGAGAAATTCCCGCCACAGCCCAGGATTTCAGCCCGTCTATCAATATTATTCACATCTCCCAAATGGAATATCATACTCTTTGAAAAGTTAATTTTCGATCAAAAAATGCTTTTGAATCAGATGAGTGTTGCTGCCAAGTTGAAACTCGCTTCCTCAATAGCATCGCAAAAGATAATTATGTCATATACATAAAAAAAAAAAGGTGATTCACCTTGTCCAATCCTCTTGCATCATCCATGAAGGACCCCATAATGTGTCCGATTTCCTGAGCTTTGGTTAAAATAAAGGGGAAAGAGAATCCCACTGCTTCAATATCCATTAGCTAGTCATAATTCCTTTTTCATGTGCCGAAAGCTCAATTAGAACGTCCTTTGTGGAAGGGATATGATTACATGATAGAAGATGCATCGATGCTTATCATTGTTGAGATTGAGATGTATAATCATCTACAATGAACTTTATTATCAATTCCGTACCCTTTACTTATCTTGTCGTTTATTTTATGCTTGACATTATGATGAGTCACGAAAACCACTAAACATGGGGAACCTAAACCCATCAATTTATGGTGTGTCTTTATTTGAGCATAAGATGATTGGTTGTGAGTAGTTATTACTAGAAAGCCTTGTAGAATATGACCCTAGACATATTTAGAATATTTTATAACTTTGATTGCATTAATATCACTACTACATGCACATCACCTTGCATGAGAAGGTTTTATTGAATATCGAGTGACAGACTGAGAAAATCATGAAGAATGTGAACTAGCACTATTGCCCTTAATGATTCGAACCTATTGATTGGATGTGGACACGAGGAAAGAAAATTTTCATATACAAATGCATTCTAAATTGCTTCTAGGGGTGATGAACCATTCCATGTTATTTCCACGATCAATAACAATGCCGAGAAGATCAACCTCCCTGGTGAGCATGATGCCAACTCTACCCTCAACACTATGATTTGTCTCCTTTTATTGATGATCATGCACATTTGAAGGAAAGTACATTTCAAGAGAAGGAAATGATGGTGACATAGATACCACCATGGTTGCCTCGTCTAGACTACCAAGAAGTTGGACAAAGTATCCTCCACCACCATAAAATAAGAAACATGTAGGTCCCTTACACATCCATCCATTCCCGTATCTCAAACTCTCTGTATGCCTTCTCTAAGACAGATAACTCTTAATCGACCATAATCTCTTTAATTAGCTATTAATATCAAAAGATATCAAATTTTAGAAGGGCAATCCATTCAACCATTGCTTCGAGATGTATAGATTGCAACAATCCTAAACACAAGTGAATACTATTTGAGCCATTATTGTGAAAAGTATTATGATTAGTATCCATCCTCTCATCAATATTGATTGCAAAATACAATATATAAGGAAAAGATATAAATTTTTTATTTTACTTTCTCGCAACAACTCAAGTTATTGAGACCAAACTAGTTCTTAATATGATGTCATAGCGTGATTTGACTGAAAGATACTCATTTATATATTTTTTCATGACACCAATATCAATAGTTGATTTAACCATAAGGTATGAGACCCAGCTAAAAGCATTCCACTCCTTTATGCGCTCTAGGACAGAAATTATTGTGAACATTTTGTACTCCTCTTATCCCACTACTCTGAACTATTTGAAAATTCCACCCGCTCTCGCATTTGCACTTGTTTAGCCATGATGTACTTTAGCTTGGAAGTGAGCCAGAAAACCCTTTTCACATTTAGTTTTCTTCTTCATCGTAAAGAAACACTCGAAAGCAGCTATCAAGTTGTCAACAATTGATCTTCCCGGAACAAAAGCACTCTGTGATTCCCAAATAAGGTCATCTAGAATTCCTTCAAGGCGATTAGCAAGCATTTTTTACAGTATTTTATAAAGAACAGTGCAAAGGCTGATCGGCCTATAATCTTTAGGGGATATAGGGTTCTTGACCTTAGGGACCAAAGCAATAAGAGTCTTATTGAGACTTTCTGGAATTTTACCATTGTGTAGGAAGCTTGTCAATTCCGCAGTAATACGGGGGGCAAGGGTGTTCCAGTTCTTTAGGAAGAACAGAGCAGGGAAGCCATCATCTCCAGGGGCTTTGGTCGCACCAAGTTGGAACAGGGCCTTTTGGATCTCTTCAGCTGTGAATGGCTTGAGAAGACTTTGATTCATTTCATTTGTCACCTTTTTCTCAACTGCTTCAATAACCCTCCAACTCACTTCTCCAGTCTTTCTCTTGAATAAGTCGCCATAATAGGAAGTGAGGCAGCCAGTGAATTAAATTATATCATTATTGTTTATAAGACACTGTTTCATTAACAATTTTTAATAACCTAACATTGGTTAAACCACTAAAATGTAAACCACTCTTTAAACGGGTTAGATTCCGACAAAATTGATTGAGACCAAACTATGATCCACATTGAGGAAAATAGAAATCAATGTTTTTCCTTGGTACTTCCAAAGGAAGGCTCAAGATTGAAGATATGATGCATATATAACCTTAGGGTGCATAATTATGAGTAACCAAATATGGATTTTTCTCTTAAGTGGCTGCTGGTCTAGAGGTGAAGAATTAAATGAATTTATTTTCCCTAATTTTATTGATTGGATCATATCTTTTTCATTCTAACTAGAATTTCAATTTTTTTTTTGCACAGATGGAACGAGTTTGTTGTGCTCTACAAAATTATATCCATTTTCAATATTTTTTTAGATTTTTTTTTCATACCTCTCGTTATCAACTCCATACCATATGGTATCTACTTCGTTTTTTTAGTCATTTTCGGAAATTTTTGCACAGAATGAACGATTTAATCATGATCTATTGGATGAAAAAAATTATGGATGAAAAAACTCCATACCTCTCGTTGCCAACTCCATACCATACTATATCACCCTGGTATGGGGTGGTATTTTTCATACTATATGGTATGCTCTTATTTAATACCGGTCAATACAATATGATACAGTCAATACCATATAGTATAGACTGGTAGTAACTGGCAATTTTTTTTGTTCCAAAAAATATCAAAGTGGATATCATTTTGAAGAGCACAATTAATCTAATCTAACTGTGCAAAAAAATTTAAATTCCGACTTAAAACGATTGAGAAATCATCCTTTAAAGATTAAGGAAAGGAAAATTAAAACTTTTTCGATGAGAGAGAGAAGGAGGCGCTGATTTGGCGGATTCTTATTGGGTTATGCATGGGTTATTGCACCACAAGGTTACTGGATCTGCTCCCACAAAGAAACCATAAAACTAGGCAACAATAACGCCCCCAAACTCTGGGCTATTAGCCATATATGTTACTTGTCCTCAATGATACCTCGGTACTGTTAGTATGTGTATAACGGTATAAATTTCATTATTGAACATCTCCCAACAACTCGACTTATTGGGAGCAACTGGTTTTTGACAGAAACCACTTTGCAATAGTTTTATCATTGAGATACACATTATTGTAGTTGATTATTGTTGGTTAAAAGAAAATTAATGAGGGAACCAAAAAAAATCAAAGATTAGCTGTTTATGAAGCCTTAAATCCATCGGCTACCATAGATCTTTGCTTTGTCCGATTCACAATATGCCCAAAACCAAAGTCTTTAGTACTGCGTGGAAGTTGTTTTTTTATTTTCATGCCATTGCTATTTTGATTTTGCATTCGGTTTGTTTGCAATCTGCTGTGGAAGCTCCGGACGGTGTGATTTCCATTCTAAATTATAATTCGGAGCAAAGCTTAATTGGTAGATGAATTATAGCACAGATGCGTCTCTTAAGGAGTGTGGGTTGAGACTAGGAATAAGAAACACACAAAAATATAACACATGAATTTTGAGTGTTTCATCAATATATGCTTGCACGTAAGTAACTCCGCCACTAATTCGAGATATCAACGAGTCTTTCATTCATAATAAATCAATTAGATCCCTTCAATTAGCCAGGAGCATGATTAGAACTAGTCTAGCTAGCCAGCCTGCCATACGACTTGCAGAAAAATAAGTAAACTATAGAGGAGATCAAAGTTACGGAAGGTCGCATTATTTGAACACCACACCAGATAATTCTAATAAAACATTATTAGAATATCAAATACCTAAATTACATATTTCATATTCTTTCTCAATCAAAACACGTCCAAATTCGCGTGAAATATATAAAACGTTAAGAAACCGCGAATATCAGGTCGTTTTCTCTGATGAAAACATCACTTTCATTTTTGGGCCACCACAGATCAAATTTTAAAATTTGATGTGAACAAATTTTGGAGGGTAATGGGCAGTGGATATGTGGAAATAAACTAAACTATGACATACATTATATTAGCCATATGAAGAAGAAGAAAAAATGACATTAGAGATAATAATTAATTAAGAAAGAAAGTGGTTGGGGTGTGTTTGGACGTCTTTTATGTTGGTTTCATCCATAGGTAGTTCTAGTTTATGTCCTCTAGTAAGTGTAGTAATCTGAAAAAACAAAGTATCCTTTGAGCTTGCCCCGTTTTCATCCTACTCCACCTAGGGCATATTAATTAAAGGAAATTAAAAAAATAATTGTTGAAAAAAATGATAATCAATTAATTAATTAAGAAGAGGAATTGGTGATGTTTTCTGTCTGTACATTGTTGGTGATGTTTTCGATCGCATCGATCAGCAATATAATAAAAGGCAATCAAGAAGCAGGCAGCGATTATTACAAAGCTAAACTTGAGTTAATTTTTGTCGTTAGGGTTAATTGTATGCAATTAGGAGAAGTGAAAGCATCCGGATTCCCGTCGCTCCCCTCATTAAAAAATAAATAAATTCTACTTATTTACTTGGTGTATAATTATATTATTAATTAATAATAATATTGACCTAAATTTCAGGTGGGTAGCTAATTAATGTTTTCATTATTCTAACTTCTGTCTCCTTGTTGTTTCTCATTGCTCAGGTTTTTGTTGGGAGCTAGGGAGGGATGGATGGTTGTTCTTTTCCGTTGAAACTTATGGGGTTTGGTAATTGGATTTAGACAAAGTCAAAAAAACTCTACCATAGTTTGGAAAAGTAGCATTTGGGATGATTTTACCAACTCATTGTTATGCTATGTTAGTAGGGGACACATGAATTTTATAGACGTGTCCTAGTCATAAATTATAAATCATATATGTGGTTAAGACTAGCGAAAGTTCGGCGCACGTTAAACTCATCGTGTTTTAACTATGAATTCAACGGAGTTTGAGATATGATATTATACTCTAACCTATAAACTCATCGTGTCAAAGTATATCGAAGTACATCTAATAGATCTGAACGTATGCGTATATTATACATTATAAATACAAGTCAAACTGATATGCTTATTGAGTATAGGGTACTTCAAATACTTCCAATGCAATATATTTATCTAGACCATGTATGAAAATAGTTTGATGTATGATACCACATCCTAACTTTTGATGGGTAAATCTCATGCCCAGTTCCCAAAACTCAAACCTGAAGATAAAGTTAATATAAAAAAAAACATCGGAAGATTATGATTCGCTCAAGTACAACAAAGTATATCCAATGGTAAGATCACTTGAAGTATGATATACTCCAGAATAACCTCAGTCGTTACCATATACTTGTAAGGGTATTGGATATGTTACCTCAATGGTTACCATAGAAACTCATTATATAGTTTCTCAACTTCTTTAATGACAAACTGAAGCAGCAAAAACAGATTAAGCCAATATTGCAGAGTGCTAGGGATGACTGTGGAAACGAGTTGAATTTTCCCAACGTAACTAAGTAATTTGAATCTCCAACTCCTCAGTTTTTGTGTTATTCTATCAACCATTCTATCAACCAGCAGTTAGTCGTCTTTCCGAGTAAGTTTTCTTGTAATAAATGGGACACCGAGATACTTCACTGGCAAAGTACCTAATGGAAAATCTGAGTAGTTTGATTTGGCCAGCTTCTCATCACTAGGGATGCCTACACAGAATAACTTACATTTGGTAGGATTACATCTCAAACCTTAAAGGGAATAAAACTGATCCATTAGCCTTCTAATTCACGCAACACCTCTTATAGAATAATTATTAAACATTAAGAGATCGTCTGCAAATCATAGGTGAGTAATCATGAAAGGCTTACACCTAGGATGAAATGGGATTTGGCTCTCTACCACTGCCTTCTTTACCAAACAATCCAAGATCTCAATGGAAATTGTAAGAAAGTAGGGGATAAAGGATCCCCACGCCTGAGTCCCTTATACGCAGTAATATTTCCACACATACCCCATTAATAGCCACTTTAATCAAAGGAGTTGTAACATATGGCTGAATCAACTTGAGAAAGCCCAAAGGAAAACCAATTGCAGTCATCACCGTAAAGAGAAACCTCCAATTTACAGAATCAAATCACTTATATCTATTTTAATAGCAGGTTTTACATGTCATAGATGCCACAAAAAAATATTTTTAATATAACATGTGAATTAAACAATCTACAATGTTTAATTTTAAAATTATATAAATTAAATAAATGCATGTTTTCTGAAAATTTAAAAAATAGTAAGGATAATCTTGTATTTACAAATTGCTTTTTACAGAATTTTGCAATCACAACTTATGCTTTTATGTTATAAAACGAAAGTCAAACTTATAGAAGTGCTTGACCTGATTTCAACGTCTGAAGAAGAAAAAGACACTTCTAAAAGCGAGTTCTAAAAACGAGTCCTAGACTTAGTATTGTGGAATATGGTTGGTTGTTGAGTGAATTATGATGAGTTTGAGCCAATTCTTCCTCATATGTTGGGGGTAAAGGAATTGCCTTCACACGTATAAAAGGACTATTACATTTTTTATAAAGACTCCTTTGTTGACGATACATGCATGCCTTATATTTGGGTAATTCCAAGTATGCACATAAACTTATTGATCCAACTAAAATTTAACTGAATCTATCTCAAACAAAAGCCAAAGAACCAACCCATTATGTTATTTAGTTGTGGCATTATTTGGCATTTTCGCTTTTTGCGATAACACCCAAATATAAGGTCACATCTTGATCATTTTTTAAAACAAAAAAAAAATGAGTTAATATTGTATTTGTTTCTCTCTAGATAGCTTGAATTATCGAGCAATCAAAAGATATATAGATTAACCACCTCATCAAAGTCAATGCATAAAATCAAAACGAACCAAACCCATTATGTGTAACGTATGAACTTGATGCATCACAAAATCCGCTCTGCTATTTGGATCCCGATGAATAAACCAAACTTAAAACCACGAGTATGCCTCTATGGACCAATAATCACGAGGTGGAGTGATTAAGCCTTCGGTTGATGCATTTTATATATTTCAAAGTCGTCCACATGCGTAACGAATTTTGAAGTGTTATACAACTAGAGGTCAATATGTCACAACATTATCAACTAGTCATAGATATGTAGCTAATATGAACTTCATGCACAACAATTACAATAAATTCCATAGGAAGGAAGGAAGGAAGGAAAACATTTAGACTTGGGGAAAGAGGAAGTGTGATTGTGGGAGATTCTTGAAGACATGAAATAGAATAGAGCATCCATATATCTCCCTTGTTATAATTGAATTGAGAAGACATAGCTATCGTCGTTAATGTATATGATATGTTAATAAAAATGGAAATATAAAACAAAGCAGCAATATCTCTTTTATGTCACTATATTTAAATTATTCCTTTTCCACTTGTATTTACTGATATTAATTAACTTAACACAAATGGAGATGCTGACTTCTTTTGGTCTCTTTCTCCGGTTTTATCAATTCTTCCAAACGCAATCCGGCACCTCGCTTCTCCCATAATATAACGACAAACTAGCCTTCCTCATTATTATAATCAGATTTTTTATTATATTATTTTTTAGTTTTTGTTATACTATTTCTTTTGTATAGTTGTAATTTTTTTTTATTACCAATCTGGATTTTAATCCTAGCTAGGTCAAGACCATTCAACGACTGTATATATGTACCTTGAAAATTATTATTTACATAAAGACTCAAGTTATATATGATAAATGTTAGTGTATCCATGCGTATAATATATGCATGTATTACCTAGTAGATGTACTTAAATGTACTCCAATGAATCAACATCGTCGGTTATTATTTTTTAGCAAATTGATATTGTAGTTTATGTTTAGATAATCATGACCTAGGTTCATTCATTAGTAGTTAGTGTATAGTATCATTTTTAAAATTTTTATTATTTATGATCTAAATAGCAAAACTTGATGAGTGTATGCTAGACATATTTAGCGCTACGGGTTACTAGAAATTTTTGAATAAATTGTTCGTTTTATGATTAATTACACGAGAAGATTTTTTTCTTTATATCGATCAAAAAGCAGGCGCACAACATTGCTATAAATATATGAAACACTGGCGATTGTTCATTGTCATTAGAATAAAGTAGGAAATGAACGAGGACGATTCACATGCTAATGACTGAACTTAATTCCTTAGGGTTTATGCTGTGGAAAGAACATATATTAATTTTACGTCAAGATTGGGGGAGGTCAAAGCCGTAACACTGCTACAAGAGTTCTCTGTACACATTACACAACTTTAACAAATAATGAATATCCTTATTAAAAAAAAGATAAACAATGAATATACAATATTAAACTGATTAAATGAAGAAGAAGAAGAAAAAAGAAGGCAAACCAGGTAGGAGATCGAGGAGGGTAAGAGAGAACAAGTTGTCAACCCTGTTTAGTTCATTGGCCAGTTGAGTAAGTGGTTGGGTTGAAAGTTAACGATCTGATTGTTTTAGTTTGGATACATAAAAAAAAAATTATTATATTGGTTGTACATTTATAAACTATACCAAATTTCAATCTTCGACGTATTTCGATTCAACATGTGGATAATAAGTAATAATATATAACATTACCCCAAAGTAACAGTTCGTACTTCGATCCAACATAGAGTGAAAATTCAAACAATCTCATATAACATCAACGTTCATATGTTTTTATAGGGTGAAACATGCTTTACTTTTTTTAGTTAGGTACTACTGAAGGGATTCGAACCTGGAACCTCTAGGTTCTAAATTTTCTTTAACTTGTGGTATTATTACTAGACAAAACCCTTGTTCGTCATCAACATTCAAAGGTTGGGCAAGATAAAAAACGAAAAAAGAAGCACAATTCGCAAACCAAAGGTAAAAACAACGTAGTGTGACCTCCAACCTCAAAAACTTTACTGTGAGTCGACCAACGGGTATACATGTTTTCCTCACCGAGTTTGAGCAATTCCGAGTCGACCTGCGGGTTGACAACCTTGATCAGGTAGAACGTTATTGCAATGGCAATGAGATGAATATGGAAGGAAAAAGAAGGGTGATTTTGACAATGGGTTGTTTGTCGTGAGTACTATATATACGGTATGTGAAGCCAAAGAAGACCAGGGTCCAAACTTGCTTAATTCTCCCCCTACCCCCCTCCTCCAAATCCAAAAGAAAAACCAGAGAAAATTAGTAGCAAAAGTTAGCTGATCATCATCGTCATCAATAATTCTCTGGTCTATCTTTTTTTTGTTTTTGTCTCCCTCCCACCCTCCTCAATCCATCTTTTCTCTCTTTCCCTCCGACAATTAGAAAGAAACAAGGACAGACAGACAGACATATGTCGAACTTGTCAGGTGAAGAAGGCAGCTTCTCCTCCGGTAACACCGCCGGAGATGAAGTCCATCACGATCGGCAGCTCGCCAATCACTTCCCCGGTTCCAATTCCGGCGCTGCCAACAGCAACGCTTCTTCTGGGCAGCCGCCGGCTAAGAAGAAGCGCAATTTGCCAGGCACTCCAGGCAAGCCCTCAATCTCTCCCTCCCTTGCTTTTCTACCTACATAGTACCCATATCTACGTAGCTATGCATAAAGAGATTCAGTAATTCGTGTCAATGATCGGTTGATCTCGATAACTAAATTATTGGGAGAGGTGAACTGATGAATCTCATACCACAAGCTAATACATAGATCTATTCGAAAACTTGAAATTCCCTTTTTTAAACTCACATCAATTTAGTGATTCTTTTCTTCTTTCGTGATGGAGAGACAGATCGATGATATGATTAGTTACATACCACGGTCTAAATGTTGTTTAGGGAATCCAAAATGATCGATATAAGATTTATTGTCGAATCTCTTTCAATTACTCTAGTTACTCAACCAATGGAATTTTTTGTTTTTTTTTTTTTTCATATGATGTAAACAGCCTTTCCCAATTCAAGAGGTCTCACACTGAAATCCTCGTAACCCACAACCTTAATAGTTGATTTTTAAAGCACAAGATATAGTTAGCTTGTACAAATATATATTAACAATTCATTTGGGTTTCTTTGAAGAGGTGTGTATGGAGTTAATAAGTGTCGTATGATCCATAACTGAATGTTTCCTCATAATTCGAGTTATTGAGATATCAACTAGTTCATGACAGAGCATCAGAGCCTTCCGTGATTGCGATGTCTTCTGTTCGCGAATCCCGACGATCTCATTTGTTGATCGCATGATATTCCGATACATGTTCAAACTTAAATCCCCTTATGAGTTGGCTTTTCGTTCCAAGGGTATATTAACAAGTAATAATGATTCATAATTGAATCTCTCTCAACAACTCGCGAGTTACTGTACCCGGTTAAAAGAAAAAAATGCATAAGATAGTTATTCTAGGCTAAAAGCTCACTCAACAACTAAAGATGGGTACCATTTTCTTAGCACCTCTTTATATGTTTTAATGAGATGGTGATCATTAATTACATGCAGATCCAAGCGCGGAGGTGGTGGCGCTGTCGCCGACGACGCTCATGGCGACGAACCGGTTCGTGTGCGAGATATGCAACAAAGGGTTCCAACGAGACCAGAACCTGCAGCTGCACCGGCGGGGCCACAACCTGCCGTGGAAGCTCCGGCAGAGGACCACCACCGAGGTCCGGAAGCGGGTCTACATCTGCCCCGAGCCCACCTGCGTCCACCACAACCCGGCCCGGGCCCTCGGGGATCTCACCGGGATCAAGAAGCACTTCAGCCGGAAGCACGGCGAGAAGAAGTGGAAGTGCGACAAGTGCTCCAAGAAGTACGCCGTTCAGTCGGACTGGAAGGCGCATCAGAAGACTTGCGGCACGAGGGAGTACAAGTGTGACTGCGGCACCATCTTCTCCAGGTACGTAATACGTACATATATATAAGTGTTATCCGAATCGGACCGGAGCAGATGTGGACCGAATTAGCAAGAGGTTTGAGTTTTATTGTTAAACCGATATAAACCCGTTTCGAACTAAATTGAATAGTAGTGGTCGATGATAAACCTGATAACTAATAGTAATTTAGTATTTATACTTTCTGCATTCATGTAGAGTAGTTGGTTAGAGCATTCTACTTTCACTAGTCAAAGTTATTTGAACTCATCAAGTCACGTTAAACCCATTTATGGTTTGATTATTTTTCGATCGAACTGGCTCGTCGATTCGCGGGTTGAACAATAATACTGCATTATAGCATATAGTAAACTTTTATTTGTGAGTGCGCGGTCAGACTATGTATGAGATAAAATCACTAAGATTAGCCGTTCAAGATATAATTGCAATATGAGATCATGTCTATGATCCACCTTTGATTTCGGGTGCATACAGATAATCCATAACCATTTTGTAAACGTTTAACAAATCGTATGTACAAAACTTCAATCGATTAACCTAGTGGACATTCTCACATATTATCGTTTATTCTAATTAGGTCTCCTATATGGGAATTAATCAGCTTATTGATTGATATGCTTAATTACCACATAAAATCCAGGAGAGACAGTTTCATCACCCACCGAGCCTTCTGCGACGCACTAGCCGAAGAGAACAACAAAGTGAACAACCAAGGGATGATGACCAACAACAACGTCAACAACCAAATGCCCGACCTGATGCCGGCAATGTCCCCCTTGGGTTCCAACTCCGACGCGAACCACTACAACAGTTTCGACCCAAAAAACCCTCTCAAGTCCCTCCCGCACGACCTCATCCCCATGCCCTTCAAGCCCATGAACATGGGCGCCGCCGCCGCCGCCGCAGCCGGCGGAATGTTCTCCACCACCTCCGGCACCCTCTTCGGCGGGCCCCGCAACATGTCATCCTCCACCTCATCCGCCAGCCTCCAGCTCAGCAGCTCCAACGCGGGCACCGGCGGCGGCGGCTCGTCGGGCTTCGGCTACCTCCCTGACGGCAGCGGGAAAGGTGGTGGGCCGCTAATGTCGGGCTCGGCCCACATGTCGGCCACGGCCCTATTGCAGAAAGCGGCCCAGATGGGGGCCACGGCCAGCAACAGCATCAACTCCCCGATGATGCACAAGAGCTTTGCCAGCAGCATGACAGCTGGCGTCGGGCCCCAGGATCAGATGGCCCCGATTCATCCGCAACAACAACAACAACCGCCATCGTACGGCGGCAGCGGCGGGATTCAACAGCAGCAGGGCGCTAGAAATCCTTACGATCATCATCATCATCAGTTCGCCTCGCAGCCCGACCACCACCAGACCGGCATGGTCGGGCTCGGCGGCGGCTCGCCCACCGCGTTCGGTGGCCAGAAAACGTCGGAGGAGATCTCGCAGCTGTTCGATGTGGCCGCCGCGGCGGCGGCAGTGAGCTCCCCCATGAACGACATGGGGATGTTCGCGAGCATGTTCATGGGGGGAGATCAGGAGAACCCCGCCGCCGCGGCATCGAACAGCGGCGGTGGCGGTGGCGGTTTGACGAGCAGAATGATGAACGGCGGTTCGAGATTCGGGAGCGAAGCGAGCGACGTGATGACGCGTGATTTTATGGGTATTGGAGGGACACGACCGGCGAACTTGCAGGAACAGCAGCAGCAGAGATTAGAGATAGAAGCGTTGAGTCAACAACAGCAGCAGCAGCAAAGGATGGCGGCGGCGCCGATGATGAATCACTACCAGCAACAGCTCTCGCTAGGGGAATCGGGATTGGATAAGCCTATTTGGGATGTCTAGTAAATGATGTTAGTTAAAAAGTGTGTTTTTGTTATTTGGTTTGAAATGTGGAAGGAGTAGAGGTTGGGGGCAAATATATGTATGAGCCCTAAGTACGTAGAATGCTGCTCATGCCCATAAGATTTGATGAAATCGAGTACATGTACTGCAACGAAGGGATGATTTTGTGTAATTTTTGGGGGTTTATAATAAATTTTTATATCCAAAAAAATATAGCATTAGGAGATAGGTTGCATATTTAAGGTGTGCTTGTTTCAACATTATCTGGAGCTTCATAAATTAATTATAAAGTTTGAGGAAAAAAGAGATAAAATAATGTTTGAAAATGTATGAGAATATAAGTAGATTAAGTAGGTTTTTGGCATGGTTCAAGGGATTTATGGTGTGATTTAAGAAAATTGTAGTATGTTTTATAAACTTTCTGGTATTTGTGGCGTGATTTATGATTTTTGTGGTGTGATGAGATTTTAGTATGTCATATGAGCTTTTTGGTATGTTTCATGAGTTTTCTAGTATGCTTTATGAATCTTTATGTGTGTGGTGAGGTTCTTACATGTTTTCTAAGCTTTGTGAAATTTTTGTGGGGTGGTTTGTTGTGTGTTGTGCTTTGTGTTTGGTGGTCCTCCAATTAATGCACCCCTCCCCCACAAATGCACACACATGTGTGTATGTCTCCCTCCCCCAATTTTCCATAATAACTAGTATGCCCCTCCTTTATAAATCATCATTAATTGTGATCTACACATTCGAATAAAAAAGTCATTAAAACAAAATATTCATTGGTTGGAGCTAGTGTTAGCACCATGCTAAAAAAAGTGTTAGCACCCTAGCCCTTTGACTATGCATAAATTATAGTGTTTATCATTCCCATATTTGGTATATTTTTCCTTCTGTCAATGCATGTTTAATAGCTTTTGATTTATTCTATATGGATTTCATAACTATTTGATCAATGTGACTAAGATAGACTTTGAGTATGTTTTTGTACTATTTTACACCTTTTTGTGTTATTTTGTGCATTTCAAGAATATAATTCTTAAGAGGAATATGAATCATCAATTGACCATAAGGAGGACAAGAATGAAATTCCATGAGTGCAAACAGAGATAGATTTGGACAGCGGATACTCATCGAATACCCCAGAGAACCACATTTATGAAAGCTAATATTGAGGAGTAACCAAATAAGCCCAATGTGAAATTGTGCACCAAAAAGTAAAATCACGACGGTCTTGTGATGGGCCCAGCCACTGCTAGGCCTAACCCAACAAGTCGCACTAAAAATCTATGGAAAGGTTACTTGTGGGTCAAACAACTCATATCAAGAGGAAAACCCACAACGGCCCAACCGCCAATGAGGGGGAGATTGTTGGAAAAGATTTCCCTTTTTGCACAGGTAAAATAATATCATTAACTTTCATATTTGGGGATATATGATTGTAGGGAATCTCTGTAATCAAGTGAAGATCAAGAGAAGACAGTTGCATTAAGAAACTATAAATACAAAGAAGCAATGAGACAAACCTGACGAAATGTGACAGAACAATCCTACACAAAGCAAGATCAAACTCCTTCCGCCACATCCCACCACCACTACCTCTCAAACTCCTTCCTCCTCCACTCCACCGCGGCCTCTTCACCCCTAATTCCCTCCTCCCTTCCCCTCCTCTCCCCACCCCACCACAGGCCACATCCACCACCACTCCCGCGATAGCTTTGGAGCGAATTTCATATCAGAGTTTTATTTATTTATTTTGGTATTGGTTTGTTGTTTTGTGAAATCATATAGTTTTGTTTTTATATTGGTATTAATTTATTTCTTCAATGGTATTGCTTTGATTTCATAATAGTAGTGGTATTGGTATTTTGGTATTGGTTTGACTCTTGTAATGATATAGATTGTTTATATTGGTAATTTTAGTGTAATGGTATTGATTTATTTCTACAATGGTATTGGTGTTTTCCGAAATGGTAGTGATTGTTTAACGGATTTGTATTGATTTAATGGATTGGTATTGATTTATTTGTGCAATGATAGTGGTTGTTTAACCGATTGGTATTGATCTATTTGTATTTGGTGTTTCCGAAATAGTAGTGATTGAGTAACGGATTGATATTGATTCTTGTTTTATTTTTGCAATATTATTATCCTCCATTAATATATGGTAGAGTTTTGTGTACTTTTCTCCATTTCAAATTTCCTGCAACGAGAGTGAAAGTAGGAAGGTCATTTTTGTCTTTACACATTTATTATTTATTTCATATAAAAATAGCAATATCAAGATTTGAACCCGGGTCTCTTCAAACAAAGATACCAAATTAACAATAACAACCAGTTACACTAAACAAATTTATTGCATCCTTTTTTATACAAAAAATAGACAAAGTTAATCTCTGAAAATCAGAGGACTTTTTCATCATAATTAGCAAGCTCACTAAGTCTACCGTATGTATTTTTATCGAGCTTGATACTTCTATTTTCATAGTAGAGTTTCATGTAATTTTCTCAATTTTAAATTCTCGCTCTCTCCTTAATTTTTGCTAAAGGTAAATGGGTAATTGGCTAACATGGAAGAAACTAATTATGTAACTATGTGTTGTATCCTTGCATTTTTCAATTTAAATTTAAATTTTTTGTTTTTTATCTTTGTTCTTTTCTCTTTCTAACTTCCTCCGAAATTTCATCCATCGTGCAATAGTTTGCGCCTTTCACTTCCCAGTACAAGACTGTCATTGAAAATCAATCTTTAAGTATCTCTTGGCACTACGGTTTTATTGTTGGGGATTTTAAGCTAGGCGAGTAGAAGATTTCAACTCCGATATCAATTCATGGCGAATAGAATGGAGTTCATCAATAACTGAAGTTGTAGAAGGAGGATTAGAAATTGAATTTGTGGTTGAATATATGCCTCTTGAGATAGAAATTTGGTTGTACAACGGAGAGTGGTGGCTATTGGATCTTTAGGTTTATGGTTTTTGCAACTGTCACAACCTATTTCTATCTTAAAACGAGGAATTATTGATTAATTGTTTGAAATATGTTGCTTCTTTATTCAACCTACTGGAACTAATAGATAAGGAGTGTCTAATTTTGCGTCTTATTACTTTGATCGAGTCTATTCGCATATTGTAGATAACCCTGATTTTTTTCGTTTGCTCTCAAGTTGTGATGGTCCCCTCTTAGCTGAGTTTTTAGTATATAGATGACTTGAATCAACAACTCTCTATTTCTTTTTGATTAGTGACATATTGTTTCTAAAATGAGAGCATTGAACCCTTTATATAGGATTGTGAGGTTTAAGATTTAGTTTCAAACTATCTATGAGGTGTGTGAGAATTTCAGTGAGGTTTAATACTCTATATTTCTTGACAGTAAAAAAAACTAACCAATAGCATTTAACAGGGACTTAATTAGCATTATGAAAATGGGCTCAATGATACATTTTTATATTTTATATTCTTAAATGATTATGATATTTCTCCGAATGTTCGACCTATATATTATTTCTTTATGTATCATCTCGATCGAATGATTATCAATAAGATTAAACGAGTTAATAGACTTAAAAGTAACATAAAAATACAAATAATCAAATATGAGTATTCCGGCCAAAGAGCCGGGTTATAAGCTAGTTATTATTATTATTTTGTCGAGCAGTATTTTTATTTTCAATTGAACGGAGAAGGAAAAGATTGAGAAAAAATAAAGAGAGATCTTGGTAGAGATTGTGAAAATGAGAAAAAGAGATTAAAAAAAAAAATTATCAAAGTTCCCCACAAAATCATATTTTAGTCCGTCGCGCCGATCTTCGAGTCGTGTGATTCTAGAATCTAGCTAGATTGATCATATATTGTCCAGAAATCATTGCACCATTTGGATTTCCACATTCAATCCTTCCTGAGTGGTCATCTGTCAAGCCACAAGAACACGTGTCCAAGGTTACTATATCGGTCAACCCACGTTCCAATAATTCTCGTGGATGGTTTTCTTTTCTTTTCTTTTCTTTTCTTTTCTTTTCTTTTCTCTCTACTGCTACTTACTTTGTACAAGAGCTAGCGGCGCAATCCTATATGTGGAAACTGAAGTAGGTCATCCGACACTTGCGCTTTTGTTTTCATATATAGAAAAAAGATAGCAGGAGGACACGTGCGTGGTCGTCTTTGCGATATATAAGCTAGGTACAGATTTCGACTCCGGCAATGATTTAGACATTCATGGAAACAATATGATTTAAAGCTATTTGGACGGAAATACACGCACATAATTACAACTTTTTTGTTTGCCGGAATAATAGTCGCTTTTTGATAATGTTATAAATGCGCTACTGATCGGGAAATCGCCGGAATCGACAAAGTAAGAATACGAAAGCGAGAATCGAAAACACGATACACGATTTACGTGGTTCACTAACACGATGTGTGTTAGCTACGTCCACGGGCGAGAGAGAGCCAGTTTCACTATATCGAGGAGATTACAGATTACAGCGAGACCCCCGATTACCAGTCGTAGCGGCTGATAGTCCGATTCAAGTCACATCAACAAATCTCCACCTTGACTTGAATCCTCTTCCTATGAAATCTCTGATGTACTCTGCTCCTTCTCTCTCTCTCCCGCCATCAATGCCCCGCAGGGCGGAGTCACCCACTCAAGACATTCAGCAAGTCCAAGCAGTGTTGAAACTTGCCATGTGGAACTGGCTTCGTGAACATATCAGCAGGATTATCCGCGGTGCCAACCTTCTTCACCTTAATCCTCTTCTCTGTCCTCAAGAAATGATACCTCACGTCGATGTGCTTAGTCCTCTCATGGTGGACTTGATCCTTGGCCAAGCATATTGCACTCAAACTGTCGCAATACACCACTGCCCAATCATGATGTAGACCCAGATCACCAACCAGTCCCTTCAACCATATTCCTTCCTTAGCAGCTTCTGTCAACGCCATATACTCTACCTCAGTAGTAGACAATGTCACCGGCGACTGCAAAGTTGCCTTCCAGCT